GTGAGTCTTTGTTCTCCAACGACCAAAAGCCAACCGGGTGCGAGGCTAATTGTTGGGACAGTTTGGACTCCGGTGGTCCTCTCGACGCTGCAGGTCGTTCAGCCCAAGATGAGGCCTGGAGCGGTTATCATCTCCGACAACACAATCAGCTCGGCCAAGGGATACAAGGACTTTTTGGAGTATATGCGTGGTCCGGAGAGTCCGTTCATTAATCTCACCCTGCCGTATGAGAACGGTCTGGAGATGAGCATTTACGTGCCGAAGCAGTCGTAAACCACCAAGTACTGCCAATTTACTCACTTGAAAATGATGTTTCATATTATATGCGTCGCCTCGGCACCAAAATAAATCAATTTGTGTATAAACATGAGCTCCCATGTTATTGACAGTATCCTATGCAACCTGGCAGGATAACTTCAGGCAAAACTATCATTATTGAGCCAAGGGCATCAATGTGTTTGCATTATTGAAAATATGCAGATTAATTCCGTGATGCATCCTCTTCAACGGCATCGGCCATGTCTCCCAGCGTCTCAAACTTCCAATCATAAATCTCATCCATTCTGTTCCCCATTACTGCGCCTGGCCTCACAATCCAACTTGACTTGATTCCCGTCTTTTTCGCGGGTTGATGATCGTGGAACTGGCTCTGCGCCGTTTGTATGATCTGGTCCTTCTCGGCGCCAAACCTGTCCTTCACCTGGCGGACCATGTATTCAAAGTTTCGAATATCAGGCTTGTAACTGCCGACATCCTGGGCCGTAATGATGAGATGGAAAGGAAAGCCCTGCAACGGTCCCGCGTTGGTCCTTGCGAACGATTCGCGATCCACGTTGGACAAGATGACGAGCTTGTAGTGCCTCGAAAGGCGGCTCAGGGCGGCCACTGAGTCGGGGAATGCGGGCCATTTGCCGACTGATGCGCCGAAAGTCTCGCTTTCTTCTGCGCTCGGCTTCTTTAGACCCAATCTGGCGGCAACTTTGGGGTGGACGGCGGTCAAGACTTTGTCGTATGGCAAGTCTGGCGTCTCGGCTTGCTGGGCGGCTTCGCATTCGTGGTAGACTGCGAGAAGCTCCTTTCGTGACAGTGCGGCATTGTTGGCCTCTAGGAGAGGTTGCAGGGCGTTGAGGACGCCGGTTTCCCAGTCTACTATGGTGCCGTAGCAGTCAAAGGTGAGGACTTTGTAGTCGGAGAGCTTGGCCATTGTTGACTATGGAAACGGTGATGTTACTTGTGAGGGGTAGATGAGATGGACGGAAGTGAATGTTGAGAATAGCGGTGTCCTGGTATAATACAGACTTCAAGACAGACGTGTTGAGGTCATGGTTTGGACATGTCGGTGCATGGAATCTTTGGGAAGGAGTATTCAGCCCTTCGAATGACAAGCTGACAGCCAACAACTACAGATCACAGGTTTGTCTGACGCCCTGCCTCCATCCGCCAAGCCTTGCCCCACCAGGAAATGGGGAACTGAGTGAGTGACTCCGATGTTGCCAGCCGAGACCCGGTCCAAGATCCGGTTCCGGTTCCGGTCCCGGTTCCGGTCCCAAAGCTAGAAAGTGCAACACGCTGCCGCATTGAAAAATCTCAACCGGACAGTGTACTGCAGTATTGCGGTGATCTGTAAGTTGGGCGGGTTAGTATTAGACGTGAAGTCGGCTACGGAGGGTTTGAGGTATACGTATTCGAGCCATCTCCAATTGGCATTGGACACTACTACCGCACCAGCGACTACCAGGGCAAGAGACTAAAAGCGGTTGAGGTGATAGTGACTTCTATTGCGCCGAAAGAAGAAGTATTTGGTTAAACCACATACAGGAATGCCGCACACGCAAATCGTGTCGTAGACGAAGACATTCCCTCGCTGCGTCGCCTTCCGCATATCTACAAACGCACCACCGGCTTTAGAGTATAAACTCTGCTAGCCAACACTGATAACATGCTCGCCGTACTCTAGACCATCAATTTATGCTTCCCTAGGCCCGTCCAAGTATACTGTTACGCTGCCAATCTGCTGGTCGATCAGGCCGTGGCATTCTAGCGCCCGCGGGTGTCATTTTCCCACAGCAGCTTTTCCGTCCGGAATATGTCAAACCACGAGAGTTGGATGTCAAGTACTATGCTCTAGAGGAAGTGCTTTTATGTACTGAAACCAGACGCATCACCAGCAAAGCCCACGCACCGGTATGGACTCTAGAGCTGAGCGGCTGGGTCGTGCAACTAGGTTTCCCTGTGAGTAATAATTCATAGTTGGATTTTCCTTCTGTCACAGTTTTATATCTACTCTTTTTGATTCTGCATAAATACATCGTATTTCTTTGGCAAAAACTTTTGTTGATATACCAAACGCCGTGGCAGAGTCATAATAATGCCAAGGGAAAAGTCATACTTGTAACCTAGATGTCGGAGATATTCGGCCAAGTGGCCGCTATTGATGCATCTTTTGGCTCCATAAACTTCCAGAGCCGAATACCGTCGTGACAGTATGTATGTCATGCTGCACCGACTTATCAGTTTGACTGTCCACGCAAGTCAAGTAGTCCGACTCTACAATTTTTACCACCAATATCAACTGCAAGCATTCGTCCAGTATCAAGCCGGTTGGAAGTCTGGTAACAAATTATGGTATCCGCGTTGCGTCACCACAAGCTTGGGGCTTCTATGTGCCCATGCTAGGGTCCCTTTGTCTTCCTTGCGGCATTCTCTTTTTGTCAGTGGGTAGCCATCTTGGAAACTCCATTATTTGTGGGCTTTTGAAGTCCATATTGTACAATTTGCCTTTGTTGAAAAAGAGGCCGCTTGGCTTGGGCCCTCACATGGCTGAAGCGGAACGGGGGCTTGAATATTTTGGGGTACTTGGCTTTTGCCACGTGCAAGGTTCAGAAGGTGACATAACCATTCTCACGTGTACTAAATCTTTGAAATGGTGATAAACCTCCGCGTTAACCTCTTTGACCAGACGTATCTGGATTTCCGGCGCCACTGCTCTCTCTCCGCGTTGCCTAGTATCAGTCAGAATGTTGAAGCACATGCTCCTCCTAATGAAAAAGACTTCGCTTGAAGCACATTACATTATTACGTCATTCTAGACCGCCCTTCAGAAGGGAAGAAGCTTCCAAGCTAAAGCCTTGAAAAGCCCGCAGTTTGTCACGCTCCTTTCCCTTTGCCCTGACCTTCAATGCAGGGCATGGTCGGCTAATGGTCTATGTTAACTGTCGTAGCCATAAGATAAAATGCAAAATGGATGCAGTAAAAATGCGGTGATGCAAACAAAAGTCGTGCGGCGGCTCTGGTGGCATTTCATCATAAGACGACAATGCCAAGTGCCTGTTTTATATGTGTGGAAGGATTGCATTTCCAACCACGCGGTGTATCTCAGAAACCTGGTATTGGGCCTGTGCGGTAAAGGAAATAGAGATCAATACTGCTATCTCATGGTGACCAATAGGGCTCATCTCTTTATAATGTGAGACAGGCTGTGGTTCCATGTCCTGGTGCGTTTCATTAATCCTGACCGATACACAATTGCCATCTATGTATATATTATATCTAACAGCTTGTGAAGTGCTTCCTTATTGTCTCTATCTAGCGTATGCTAGCACCTACCTGAAATCCCAGCCTGCGTAGCTTCAGGGCTTACGGAGTGCCGGCATAAGCTTTACCAGAATGTACTGCCTGGTGATTCTGTGGCGAGGGCAGGGTAACTGGGCTTGGAACATTTAGTTCAATTCAATCTTTAGTAATCAACTTTAAGGTATCAAAGGTCCTTGGTTTTCCAAGAGGCCTTGAAGGACCAGAAGTCTTTATATATACAAGAAGTCAGTGAGCCCTAGCAGCCTAAGGCAGCTTTTGCCCAGGTCCGACTCCGGGCTCTCGTGATACCTTTCTCTGTTGCTATGTAACCTTTCACATCCGATACATTTATCCAGGCCTTGGCCGTGTGACATATTCTGCATTGCCCGGACTACTACATAATTATGAGTGATTAGAGCCCACCATCCGGGTGTAATTTCTACTACACTGACGTCGAGTGTGATCTAGACTGACTGCTCAACGGCCGATCAGTTCCGAGTGCTCCAATCAGTTCATCCAGGTACTCTCATGGGTGTTACTCTGCAGCTAGAGTGTTGCGGCCGTTATCTTTACCCCGCTTTAATGTAGTATTCGGTTCCGCAATGATTGCCTAACCACGTATCATGTTGTTATTGCAATAGTTCTTTGCATACTGTATGGCATCCATGTCCCAATGAAGCAATTTGACATGTAACGTCTAGTAGATAGATTTAAAAAGGCCTACTTTCACAGTCTTAAAATTGTTGAGCATATAAGTGCCTTTGGCATTTGTCACACGGTTACAGGAGGGATATGATCACGGGACCTAGGGCAGAAGGCCCTCACCGACGTCTTGTATTTAAAGAGCTCTTTGGTCCTTCGAGGCCTCGAGGAAAACAAAGGACCCTTGAAACCAAAGACTGTTATTAGATGAATTGAGCTATTGCTCCAAGCCCTCACTGAGCCCTTGTTACAGCATTCCCTCATACTTCTTGCTCAGGGGCAATATCTGATACGTTCTAACACGAAATCTAATCTACATTCCAATAACGGCTAACTGAGTAATATATCGCTCTCATAGCCCCAGGCCTCTTCTCGCTCAACCGCTGTTCTATCCCTGCACAATGGAGGTCGTCTTTATACTACTTGGAATTGCTTGTGTAGCGCTTTATTTTTTCCTTTATAGCTGTCTCCGAAGCAACACTCGTCTACCCCTACCACCCGGCCCGACGCGCCTACCGATTGTAGGCAATATTCTCTCTTTGCCTCCTAAGGGTGTTCTGGAGTATGAACACTGGCTGAAATTTAAGAACTTATACGGCCCCATCAGCTCTGTTACCGTACTAGGTCAAACTACAATCATCCTTCACGGAAAAAAAGAAGTCGAAGATCTGCTGGAGAATATGTCCACAAAAACCTCAGACAGGCCGCTATCTATCTTCGCTAATATGACTGGATTCGATAGGTTTTTCGCCTTTAAGCAGTATAATGCGAGTTGGCGCCAGCATCGCAAGATGATGCATCAGTCTCTCGGTACGGAAAAGCTGTCGGCACAATTTGATAGTGTCCAAAATCTGGAATCACGACGACTCCTTCTACGAATACTGGCTGAACCAAGAAACCTTGTTCAACATTTTAAAACGTACGTCAGCTAGTTCTACAAAGATTAATATACAAAATTAATGAATTACTTAGCCAAGCCGCCGCAATCATCCTACGCATAACATATGGCTACGCCATTGAGCCTCACAGCTCGGATCCCTTGGTTAGCATAATTGAGCAGATGATGGATAACTTGTCCAAGACTTTCGTACCGCTTTCATGGGTAGTCGATATAATGCCCGCGCTAAGATTTCTACCTAGCTACATGCCTGGCATATCATTCAAGGCTACGGCCAGACGATGGAACGCAATCAATGATTTGGTTACTCGCGTACCATATTTATTTGTACAGAATCAAATGCTCAAAGAGAACTGCCGTCTATCCCTCGTCTCAAATTTTCTCAAGGACCGCATGGAAAGGGGCGGAGAAGCAAATATCGACCACGACACTGAGAAAGCTATCATGTCAGTAGCTGGACAAATCTACGGAGCCGCTGCAGATACTACCATATCCATCCTGAGCGCCTTTGTCCTGGCCATGGTAATGTTTCCAGAGGTCCAACGAAAGGCACAGAAGGAGATGGATACCATGATTGGAAGTCGACTTCCCGAGTTTAAAGACCGGGAATGCCTGCCATATGTTGCGGCAGTTATCAAGGAGGCTATGCGATGGTTTCCGATTACGCCAATAAATGTGCCTCATGCGGCTAATACCGAGATTCATTATAAAGGATATCGTATCCCCAAAGGATCATGTATAATTGCCTCGAACTGGTGGCTGCTTCGTGATCCTGCGACATACCACGATCCAGATTCATTCACCCCTGAGCGGTTTCTCATACGAAACGAGCCTGATCCTGCGGCTGTCGTATTTGGCTTTGGACGCAGAATCTGCCCCGGTCGATTTTTCGCTGACAGAAGCTTGTTTTTGACAATATCACGCATATTAGCAATATTTACTATTAGCAAGGAAGTAGGAGAGGCTAGGCTTAAACTCACCCCTGGATTGATTGCGCACCCAGAAGAGTTTCCGTTTAAGATTGCGCCTAGGACTCAATTACATGCTGAACTAGTTAAGGATATAGAGAAGAACAGCCCGTGGGAGAAAGGAGATGCTGGGCTCCTTGCAATTCAATAACTAGTAACAGATAAAGACTTCGCCGCTTGGAGGGCCGCTGTTAGTAATACTGTTATGCGTATCGCCAAGAGGCAGCGCATTCTTCTTTGGGGCCTAGCGGTATTTGGTGATTTGAATGAAACGGCTTTTTGACACCGCCGTCACTTGGGTAAATGGGGTTTACAAAGGAGATGCTAGTAGTATTTCTTGTCATTTTTATAAAATCAACATAATATCACCAAAGAAGACCATGACTCCGGTATCCAGACCAAGTTCTCATATGTTGACCCCATGGTGCTGAATAATGACCAGGCGGATCCCAGACACAAGCCAGGCTAATCTCTCATCCAAAAGGGCGGGGGGGGCTAGTCTTATCCTAGGCTTAGTGTACTGTCGTGCATGATAAATATCACACAAGGACCTATTAAGCCGATGTCAACTTGTAGTGGTTCCTTCAAAGTACCTCACATGTCGTGTACCTACACACAATGTACAGTTGGTTCATGTTAAGACCCTGGTGTCCCAACTACTAGCCCCGGTCATAGAATAAAATTTGACATATTTCACCTCTGACCATCAATTCCAAGGATGGTAATTCGACTGTAGATTGGAGAGGAAACAATGTGGTTTGAGAATGATACCTCAGGTAGGATTTACTCCTTGTCCAATTATTCCTATATATATTAGCGTGGTAAAGATAGGAGACCAGCGTGGATTATTTACCTGAATCGGATCTAAAAGGGTCAAAGAATTGACATGGTCTCCAGAGATGTCGACACGGTAGTCACCGACGGCATCGACCTGGAAGTTCACCTCATAAGGTACCTCGATTTTCCTAGACTTTAGGAGAAAGATACGCTTCTTGAGATTGCCAGTAAATTCGACGGACAAGACGCCGATAGACTCCACACCAGCTGGGTATTCTTGTAAGTATAATAGTCCGAAGGTTTTCCCACTATTTCTTCAACACTAATCACGTACCTCCCGTCATATTAGGTAAGTACCTTGAGTCATCATCGGACCTGAAGACTTCCACATTCCACTTTGGATTGCCTTTGGATTTTATGGATTTGGCGAAAGTTTTGCTGTACTTCTGACCTGTGGTCCTTTTTTGACCCCTCCTAAGCAACCAACAAATCTCAGTGCCTAGAGGAAGTCCTTCGGCGTCTCCTTTCGGCACAACTCCAATACTGACTCGTGCGATCCGGGTATGAAGAATGGTTTTTTGGCAATTGTAAAGAAGGCCATATGTCACGGCTAATTGAGGTTCGGGGCAAACGTGGACTGTCGCTCCTTTGATCCAATGAGGCCCTTTTCCCGAAACCCAACCTTTCAGCTTGGTTAACATGTACTCGGAGCCTCCTAAACCGCCTGATAAAACGACATGATCCTACAAACTGCGGTTACTTATAGATCTCGCTGTGAAGGCATCTTAACTCACCACTTGTTTCTGCACGCTGTCCAAGAAGTCATTTAACGCATCAGCAGTACATATTGCAATTTTACCAAACTGAGAGTCAAAAAACTCCTCGTGGTTTTTACTGTTATATAGTTAGCATGACGAGACTTTGACTTATTGCTAAGCAAAGTCAGGTAGCTCTCACCTCGACAAATTTACCGTGGTTTCCCCCCAATCACTCCCGTGGCTGTTACACAAAGCATTGCGTGGAATTGGAATTCCAACCATGTTGGGAATATTTTAAGACCTAAACATGAGTTTCTTGTGTTGAAACACCATGCCTTGGGACATTTCATGAGAAATGCGTTTGAGTTGAGCATCTTTAGATCCACCAAGCTCATCGGCAGCAAATCGCTCAAAGTCCTTATCAATCCACATGGAACCACTGTCAACCCCCTTCACCTGCTGTAGAAGCTTTACTTTTTTGTGTGGGTCGAGCGATTCAACCTCAACGAAGGCAATGTCAGTGGTTCCGCCGCCCATATCAATAGACAGAATGGTGTCATTCTTCTTGAAATTAGCACCTTGGCAGGAACAAAGAGCAGATACCGATGCCGCTTCAGCTTCAGTCAAGCCTAAAAAAAATGTGATTCCTTTCTCCACCAAAGCCAGCCTTCCTGACGATCTCCTTGAAGGCAGCTCTTTGAGCCCAATCCCATGTCGTCGGGACGCTGAAGATGAACTCAATTTTACAGTCACTCCAGCTCTTCCCCTCAAGAGACATGGGGCCATGGCGATTCATGGTAGGCAGTTCGCGACGAATGTGGTCATGAAGATGGCGTAAATACTGTTCGGCAATCTCCAACACCTTGTCAGCAGAGTCGGGCGCCCAGCTAACACCGCACTCATGAGCCTTCCTAAGTTGAGCCTGATCAAGGTAAAGTTTGAAGGCCCTCCACTTATCTTCCTCTTCCATGTTCTGACAATGGAGCCCCCATTTTTTCGGCTCATGTTTGGCCAGGATAGTCGGAAACTTCTTAGTAACAGACTCGCCTGGAAGCACATAGAACATGGGATTCAGCCCAGTTGGAAACATCCAACCGACTCCTACGGCGTGGTTAGAAAGTGATCTACTGGGTGAAGGTTAGGAATAACGCACCAGTGAATGTCGTTCCGAAATCGACGCTGATACACACATCAGTTTGGCTAGCGGAGGACATATTGGACATATTGGTCGCCAATGAGAAGCCAAGTACAGGTGACACAAATGACGGTGCTGTGAAAGAGACGGTCTAAAAGATGAGAAGGACGCAATGATAACTTAACAGTAGCTTGCGGTTTGTGTCTGAGCTTTGGGGGATGGTATGAGGCAGCTTGGACGATCTATATAGTAGAGAAGTGGCGAGGAAAGGCGTATGACCATAAGTTGAACTGTTGAGGCCATGCCGGACAAAATTCTGTTTGCTCATTTTCGGGTGCGCACCTAGCCGGCAGCAATGAGGCTATGGATGGCGTTTTTTGTAGGCCAGAGACGCTCCCCTTTGCGGTATGTAGTGGCTTAATCATACGTGGTAGGCAATCGTGACCATAGGCAGACCGGACATCAAGTACATCAAATAGTATACTCACTCCCCTGTTCATCGTATACACACTCAGCCAGCCGGGTAGGTGCAAGGAGTACACCGGACAAGGGCGCCAGGCAGCTCCGACACCGTCCCTCGAGTGCCCAATAACTAATTGGCTGGTGGGCTGGATTCAATATTCCGTTTTTTTTATGGCTGAAACAGTGGAAATGGTAGCTGAGGTGATGAATGGATCCATAATCCAAGCCATCCGCACACGCAGAACACGAGGGCGCCAGGGGGTGAATGTGATCCGGGGGTGAAGTAAGAATGTGCACGAGACAATTTCAAAAAGCCGAAAATAGATTCCAGATGCGCAGCATGCCTAAGGGGGGACGGGTCTTTTGTTCCGAGTAGCAAGGCAGGTTGCTTCACGCTCTACTACGAGCCCCTTCTTTTCTTCTATTTCTTCTGCCTTTCGTCTCATTTTTTTTTTCCGTAAACAGTCCGGCGGCATAGAATCTAGAACAATGAACCAGCTACGATGACTACTACTACCGTATATTTTCCCATCACTCTTTCTGAATCCGCAGTGGCTGTTTGGACGCCAGAAGCCTCGCAAACTGTCCCTGCTGGTTCTACCTATCCGGGCTCTTTCCCAACGTCTTGTCCTGTACTGATTGATGGGAGCAAGTCCCCTGTTATTGGAACAGCGGTATCGCCGACCGTTGTGGCAGACACGACGTTCGCCGCGAGTCAACCTGTGTCCATGACGATATCGTACAGATGCGAATACAATGTTACCGAGGTAATGTCAACAACAGCAACGAAAGTCTTGGAAAGTTCGACCAATGTTACCTCGAAAAATAGTAATTGGAACCCTGGCTGGAGTTGCGGCGTTATTAGCTACAGCAGCGCTTTTGGGTTACTACTTTATGAGACGAAGGACGGCGTGTCGCATCCGGGAGCGTATCCAGCAGGAGAATTGCCGCCTTCGAGAAGAAAAAATTATACCTGGCGAGAGGGTGGCATTTACACACCGCATGAAGGGTTTTCTCCTGCAAGGTGCTCATTTCTGCTGGGGTGATATTCAGAAAGACTTCAAGCCGCTTGATGTAGGCTTCTGGGAGTTTGTCCGTCTTGGACTCGATTGCCAGAAAGTCCTTCCGAATTCGGTTTCCCTAAATAAGTCACTTGAGACTCTTGGTCTAAGCGAGGACGCTCGCAACTTGATCTGCGAGCTGCTTACTGAGCCTCGTACCCGCCGGATTGCGATGCGCCATGTGCTTGTGTGGGCGGTATTCTCTAATCTGGATATCCGTTCAGTCGGGCCGCTCTCTCTCCTACACCCTGCGATTAAAAACTTCATGCTGTATGATCCCAAGGAGCATAGGAAGCGGGAAGAGTATACGGACCCAATGGAGCGTGGTAAGAGCCTTCTGCAATCAACGTAGGGGAGAATTTGTGCTGACTCGTATTTGTGGAATTCAGACGAGATCGTTCGAAATGCTTGGAGACAAGTTTCCGCTGCGTTGTTGCAGGAAAGCATCCTCGCCTGGGGTAACCATCACCTCTATTCTAGAACAAATCCTCACCTTGACTCCCAGATCCAAAGTCTCATGGATGCGCTTTCCGGCTTCTTGGAACATTTACCTATGTTAGATGATGGGCCCTTTAAGCACGGATGGATCCCCCCTCTACGTCGTCTAATTTTTAGATGCGCAAAGCTATGCTACATACTCGCCTCTGACCCGGGTAATTGGGTGATAACTTTACCGCCGCCATCATTGGCCCAAGGAGTTTGTATCTTCCCGGGACTAACTTTAGTGAGAGATCATGATCGGGATCCCTTGCGCGAGCCTCGAGTTTTCATCTTTCCCAAGTGGGTAAAAGTCGATCATGCTGACAAAAGCAACAACGCCGAGGCGCAAAACAACATGCAGAGAGACTCATTCGATGAGTGGAGGGATTAGCCATGAAGTGGTATAAAACATCCAAAGGCAAGCGAGTACGGAAGCCTTTGTAAATGCCACTTCATGCTGTGGGCAGATATATGAGAACATTGTCTGTTTCATCTCGTTTTTCCGAGTTGGTGCTTTAGATACTACGACAAGTTGAAAATGTGACATCAATTATGCAATGAAAATTTCTCTTTACACACGTGGCCGAGTAAAAAGATGGGCAGAAATAATCGCGCAGCTAATATAGCATTCATCACGTATACTTCTTTGTATCTCAGAGCTCGGTTCTATTGGGCCGCGACAGGTCCAAAAACAGGCGGAACAAAGGTCCAGCAAGAGCTCATCAGTATGCGGCAAGCATCAATGGCAAAGACTGAGCTGAAGAGGGCAGATGACGAATGATGAATTTACAATCTAGCTATAGGAAATGCTGGTCTGGATCATGACATTGCTCATGGCATGGATCCTGAAACACAATCTCTTCTCCTCCCGGCTCGGGGAACAAGGCAACTACAATACCATTGCCCCCAACGTCCCTAAATCCTATTCAACTCCATATCTCTTGCTCTCAGCAACCCATTCTACCGTTCCGTCTTCGTTTATGCTGGTCTTAGCCGGAGTGAGGGCTTTGAGTATCTAAGAGTCAACTGCCGTAAAGGTGGTTGAATCAACAGAGAACGCGCAGTCCCTGTAGTTGTGAATTCCAAAGCTCAGGGTACCGTACATCTCACGACCGCGATTCTTGAGCTGAGGTGTTAGAATGCCGCGGAGGGGATGCTCAGGATTGCTCTCGTCACCCTTGGCCTCGGCGGCTTTGACTGCCTTGTCCCAGAACCCCTGCCACCTGCTAGTCGCACTCTTCTTATCCATTCCGGCCGGCGGTATCTGCTCCATGAGACTCCGAAATAGCAGAGACGTAATAACCTGTTGTTGGTCATGTATTTTGATACTCTGCTGCTGGATAATCCCCTGAGCAAATGCCAGTGCTCCTGTCCTTGCGCCGACGGCCGCGCGCAAGGCTGGTATGATCCATGGCCTACCGCTTGTCGAATATGCAATTTTGGCGCCTGTCAGGTAGAAAATCTGACGCAAATTCTCTCCAATTTGGTTCCAGACACGAAAATAACTGTGGTTGACAAATACGAAACCCCCAGTCATTGATTCAATGACAACTCGGTGAATCTCATTGTTTTTACCAACAAGTCTCTTTAAAAGCCGCTCAACAATCCGAGGGTTTTTTTGGTAAACAGACTTTAGCATGTCTTGGACCTCACTGTCCTTGAAATCAATTGGACCATGGCTGTGGACAATCGCGGACGTGTTAGCGACGACGTATATTCTGGAGGCGTATAAGCAGGAAACATACCAAGTAGTCCTGGATGCGGGCGTTCTCATCTCACTTCTCTTCACCACTGCCTCTTCAATCTCGTCCAGTAGATCTTGGTCCAGCCGCAATGTCCGAATCTGATTCAGGATGCTGCCAAAGTCGACTGCTGGATACCATTGATCTCCCGAATCTTCTAAAGACTTCTTATTTTTATATTTCTTCAAGGCAGTGTCTAGCAGCTTAAGGAAATGTGAACCTAGAGTCGAATCGGTAGCCATGTATGCAGCGAGATCCCGATACCGGTGTGCTATAAGCAATCGCTCGACAGCCTTTAAGAAAACATTCCCGTTCCTCAAGAATTCCGTGGGAGCTCCGTTTAGATGTTTCGTTTCGGAACCGCACTCGCTTGAGCTTGCAGCTATAAGTTCATCCAGGAACGAATGCTCTTTGACGGGGCTTTGTAACTCTTTCTCCGTGGAGACTCTCAGAAGGCAAGTAAGGGCTTCGGCCAAGTGGGAAAAATCCGACTTTGTTTGTACCAACATTACGTCTAGCTCTTTTTTTTTTTTTTCGTTGGGGGGGGTAGAGTGTAAAAACGGGTACCCGTGGGCACCCGTGGGTATCCAAGTTTTTCTTGGGTTATTCGTGGGCTACCCATTTTATTATGTAGGTGGTTTAGGTATACTACGAGTAATCTAATAGAAAGATAAGTGCCCTATAAATACTTATAAACGTATAATAATATAAATATTTAATTATATTTATAATAAGTTTTAAGTTTAAAGTATAAAGTAAGTTATATAAGTTTTATTTAAGTACTTAAAAACACTTAATATTTTTAATAAATAATTATAAGTACTTTATTTTCTCTTATAAATTTATTTAAGTCTTTTTTTTTCACTTATACCTACTTAAAGCCTACGGGTAAGTAACCTACACGGGTACCCGTAGACCTTTTACACCCTAGTGCGAAATAGTGTGAATGGCCTTACGGAGATAAATTTAACATGAGGTAGGGAACAAAATAAGAGTATTAAGGTGCGGTAATTTGTTTCAAGGCTATGAATTTGCGGATGGATATAGATATCAGCCAAAGATTTATGTTCAGTAACAAAATATATACACATAAAAAATGGCTTCCAAACCTAACACCTCCCCCAGTTCAAAACACCCAAGAATCCCTAGGGTCCGGATCTACCCTTGCCTGATGATCCGTAGTGATAGGCCACGCAGGAGCGACAGAGCCTCGCAAATGGGTATTGTATTTCTAACAAAATCCTCGTCATTGTTATCTGCCAAGTGCGTATACAAGACTGCCAGTAGACATAGTACCAGGGTCTTTACCGTGGCTCCCTCTCAACTGCCGTAGCAAACGGCAGCTGGAGCTGGAGCGCCATAATGGGTCCAAGGGACAAAATAGAATCCTGTGACCCTTCCAGATTCGACGACGGGGTGCGTCAGTGGCCGGGCTGTAGGCTGAGCCTGGAGTGTCACACGGATTAGGTCAAGCAAGGATTAGAAGCCCTTTATTACACAAGAAGATCACTAGAACTATGGGGCACACTAGGCACGGGCCGTTCCTTTCATGTATACAAGATGGTCCCCCCCTCGCCTCATGGCTTGGGGAAACCAAGGACCTTTGACATCTAACAAGATTATCACTGAATTGAGCCCTTTTGCTTCAAGCCCTCTAATGAGCCCTTGTCACAGCCTGGAGTTCAGATTCTGACAGGGTTGCAGGCTGCAATGATAGCAAACATCTGCTAGCACAGCCGGGTGGTACGAGATCAATACAACTTTTGACCTGCAGAAGCCCTCAATACATATCCAGTGAGACAAACGAAAGTCATTTATAGTATACCTTGATCGACAGTACAGGTCAAATAGTGGAAGCTGGTTGCCGATAAACGGCAACTACACAAGCTACGGAAATGGGCAGCATGTTTCAAGTTACTAACACCGACCAGATTTATCCTCTTGACATGTGGCCTTATCAAGGTGCTGAAAAAAATCCCTCCAGACTCTGGTAGCCGAGTTATCCAGCCCATTCTTTACATCTGTGCTAGCACCGGCTCGAGGTACGGCCCATTGGATACACCAGCGCCGCCGGCTCCCCATGGGCTGGAAACAGGGACACCAGACTCAATGGACCCGCGCACTTGGACTGTATGAACTCTAATATTGTAATCTACGTTGATCAAATCGTTGCTATAAGTTATAAGAGTACCTTTGGGAGACTTAGGTATGAGTGTGAGTGCCCCTCGCGAATTCATTATGGAACGTTTAAATATACTCGAAAACACTTTACAGCCGCGATTAATTAGAGTTGTTGAAGACTTGGAGAGGGTTATTTGGACCGCCTCTGATGGAGAGCCGCCCGGTTGTATCTTAGTTCATTGGCTTGATGTTATGGAAGCGCATGATTTGCGATTATTATTTGAATGAGTTTCTTCCGTGTCATACAGCTTTTTAGAATGTAAATTCCAATATTACATGCTGGTTATGTCTGATACAACCATGTTAAGAAATGCACTATGATCTCTTAATTTACCGAAGAACGAGGGATGGATGGATGGTTGGGTATGTATATAGGGCCCAAGTATTAGAACTGAACACTTGGAAGACGAATTTTGTTCGTGGTCTTGATGAAATTATAGAGCAAAGCCTATTGTAACGTACAATGTATCTATGCCTCAACGAGTCGAGTGGTGCAATCTGCATTCCCACAACTTACCACTTTGATGACGTTGTATTCAAACGTACATGTAGGCCACACATTCTTTGTCGGTGAAACCCACGCTCCACGTTTACACTCTCCAGGCTGTTTGTGTCGCCGCATGTGCTTCTTCAGATCAGGGCGCAGGCGCGGGGGGTAAGGGATGGAGGAGGGGGTCGGCCATTTGACCTTAAACCCAACGAGGAAAGACATTGTCGGCCGATAAAGTTGCTCGTAATGACTCCTATTTGGTAGCTGGATCATGTCAGACAGCTCAATGTGGATTACAGGCGGCTCGGGCGCCACGGGGCCATGATGGCTACTCGCATCCCATTCAAATGCAAGGCATCGAGAGCACTGAGGCAGACAGAGAAGCGTTTGGTATGGTGGCGTCTTGTTTGCTTGAGAAAACTATCTTGTGAAACCTCTCGTCCAGCCGTGGCAAAAATGTCGATTCAAGCCTTGCTTCATGCGGCCAACGACTGCGGACTGCCCCGATTACTGCTGGCCGCTACAGTAATAGTCTTGACTGGCGTTGCTATCCGATGCACTTTCCACCATAGCGTCGATACTAGACGAGCGTCGAGTATCGGCACCAAGACTCATGGCGAGTCCCCTCAAAACACTACCAGCCCGGTATGTTACAAAGCTCAAAGCCCTCATCCACAGGATAGCTGGTCGATTCGTCATACAAAACCGCTTCCATACAGGGTCTTCAGATACGAACCGAAGTACAACATCACAATGGGATTCGGTACCCTTGATCCGGACCAATGGATCGGGCTTGACAGCCACTTCCCAAAACACCACGCTGATAAGGCAATACGCATTCAACAGCGAGGCGACAAGTGTATCAAGACTCACCCTGATACCGTTCCAGCCGCTATTTAGCTCCTCAAGGAGCTCGCAAACTATCTGCCTGCGCGGTATACCAACCTGTTTAAACGAACATTAGTGGAAATTAACAATATTTGTTGGACGAGTCATTCGATATCCTATAACGACCACTTGAGGAAGACCCAATGACAGTGTGTGTAAGGTTAATTCAAGATGACTTGGCCTTATTATTAGAGCAGCCAGACGGGAAATATCGCCTCCCGGTTGGATGCATTCTCCTGGCTGGCTTCTGGAGACTATCTGACAAGTTTGGCATGTCATTGTCGGATACTCACACCTCTGGAAACGTCGCCTCCTTCAAAGCGAGACTCGAAAGAGGCATGGTAAAGTTCATTCAGCGAATGAACGCAGATACCCATGTATAGACGTAATAGTTATCTCATCCAAGTCAATGATTATTTACCGTGGATGGCGACGAGGATGACCCGGACGTGGGATGGAGTACTGCCGAAAAGGGCAAAATTATTCATCATCACTGGTTCGGGTCTGAGAGACAGTCTCTCCGTCGATTAGCCAGGACGCGAGCCATTTGTTTTACGATCCGGACCTACTTTTTGCCAATTACCGAGATGGCAGAGGAGGACTATGTACCAGACAGGTTGGCCAGTGCAATGCGTAGGGGGGGTAGATGAGGTTTCGAATTACAAGGACCGGGCAAAGGATGAAGCTGTTTTGCTAGACTACTTGGACAGAAAACACCAAGACCAGGTGCGAAGCGGGTTGGATTTGGCCCGTGAGGAAGACGTGCGACGACAATATCCTTGGTGAAGATGACTTCAAGTTTAAGTGTTTGGACGAGACTTTCATTTCCTCTTGTCAATGATTTTTGAAAGACACAATATGAATAAGAAGAGAACCTCATCCTGTGCATCTGCAGTGTATGTTATATAAGCAATTGGTTTGCTGTGAGTATTTGGATCATGTGTAATCTATCATGAGCATTTGCAACCTACAATATAAACTACAACATATCACTTGTTACTAGATGTCCTGCATTCAGCCCCCCCTTTTTCTATTTTCTCCCCATCAATTTAAAAAAAAAAAGTAAAAATTACTTCTTCTGCCCATTATAGATAGCGGGATCTGGGGGTGCTTCGTAGCCGCCACCTTGGTCCAACCACTCGTGGAAGTTCTCGGTCAATTACGCCAGGGCAGGCCTACGACGGGCTCTCACGTATTGCAAGATGATTTCATACAAGGCTGTCAAACAGCCAGATGACTTTAGCTGAATTTGGCACCAACCGTGCTTGGACCATGCTCTGCGTATTAGTGAGACTATTAAGCGTGCAACGCCTGCATTCAACAACACACAGGGACATGTATCTGCAATTGCGACTGACAATAAAAAGGCCACTATGGATCTTTGTAGACGCAGGGATAAGCATCAAGCTTACGCCGTCATGGGCACAACACTACAGCAGTCACCGAGTACAACTGTGAATTTTGAAGCTTCCACCCCAGGCGCTCGCACCACTCTCTTGGGATTAAAACACGCTTGTAAGCGGATTGATTTGCCATGACTGACTCCGGCGGCATTCATAAGTACGGAAAGATGGCCGAGACTGTGGCTGCTGTGCGGTCGCAGTCAAAGTAGTTGGTATTTCGCATCAGGTACATCTGCCCGTGGAGTCTATAGACCGAACACTGCAATCTTGATGCCCCTTTCAGATCCTGTCATAGCGATGAATTTACCCTGCCTCCGTCACACTCCATGAGACAGACAACTGCACCATATCATTCAACTTTCGAAACCACCTTGAGACATTTTCCATACTTTCTTGTCTCTTTCAGATAACCCTACATGCTAGTATTCATGAAAAAATTCCGTATAGAAAAAATAAAAGTAATTTTAATATTTCGAGTGCGTATAGTCCGAGCTTGTGTGCGAGTAACTAACTAGACGATAAACGCAATACGCTCATGCGACACAAAGTAGCTGCGCATACAGTGGCATAGTTCTGCTGGTAGGCGGACAAGGAAAGTGTGAGAGTTCTAACGATGGAAAACAGCATGTTGGAGTTGCGTCAGCCGCGTATGCGAGATTGCTTATAATAAGGAAACTTTTCATATCGTGACTGAGTTTTAAAAAGTTGTCATAATTTCTATAAGAAAGATCTCGTAATATGACACGCGATAAAGAGTGAACAGAAAAGAGGTCAAAGAATGTAAACTCCAAGACCTGGTTGGCTACCACAGGGATTATTCGCTATTACTCTAGGGTTTTGAGTTTTGCTAGCCATTCTATAGTCGTATTGCTATAGTCTTCTGGCCCGTATGGCTCAAATAATTCTGACAGAAGTCCCCGTTTCCTCCTAAAGGCCAACCCTAGATCTCGAAGGAGCACATCGTAGTAGGGAACGGCGTCGAATATAAATGAAGGGGCCTTGTTACCCCAATCCACGGGGTATCTCCATTTCCCGAACCGGTTGACCAAAACTGTTTGGTATTGCAGCTCGTCCAGTGCTCCTGGTTGCAGGAGATTCCGTGTTGCATCGCGACTCAAGCTGTCTGACATGTAAGAGGCTATCCATAGGCTCTGGACATGTGCCGATATGGGCGTGCTGAAGTTTGTCACCATGCCGCAAAAGGCAATATCTCGATGGCGAAGAAACCGCGGTGACGGGGGCACTATGAATCGATGGAGCATAAATGGTGTCAAGTTGTCATTCTCCGTTGGCGTCCCGGCTCTTACAACTCCCGGCACATTCGAAAGCGGCACGTAATTCTTCAGACACTGGGGCTGGTCTTGCAAGCTTGGGAACCGTGATAGAATCTCCCGGTCGGCCTTCTCAAGGACAGCCTCGTTTCTCCTCAGCAATTCTGCGTCAAGGCCGGCTTTTTGTTGATAGGGAAGCCCCAGCTCCGCGTCAACCCCTTCAGGGAGGAACTTGATTGGGGGCACTCTCTTCCACCCAGTGTGTACCAGGATCGAATCCGACTCAAAGCATGTATTGTCAGAGAGATGGACTTTGCCTGGGCTCAGACGCTCAATGTCGGCTATGTGAATCTTGACCCGCTTCTTCCGAACAAGGTCAAAAAAGTCGGTATCGTAATTCAAGATGCTAAAACTTGCTCCCACGAACATGGCATTGAGCTTGGGCTTCAGCTTTCTTGTCTCCGGGTGGGAGTCAAGCCGGCACCGGCCTAGCACGTCTGACGCTAAAATTTTCCAGAACAAGTTGGTGACGAATCTTCCAACTATGGTGCCGTGCAGGAGCCTCCTGACCCATGAATGCCCACATTGTGAACCCCAGATACAAGGGCTGAACCATGTGAGCAATCTTGTGTCTTTTTTTCAACACGTTAGCGCAAACTCGAGAAGCTTTCCATGCCCTTGGGTGAACAAACTGGCTAAGAATTCCACCCTTTGCTTGAAAGGGGTAACATATGGCGGTGTCATCCAACATGGGCCGTGTCCATTTGCTGTTTTTCGATTTGGTCCCCGAGATCAGCAACGGACTTTACGAAACAAAGAAGCGCACGGAGAACTGCTACTAGCATACCTCTAATGACCCAATGCACTTCGGCTCCAGCTGCCGCGTAAGCATACACAGCATCCCAGGCGTATTTTGTCGACCCATAAACCGTAGGCCTCTGGGCACACTTGACGGTATCTGCGTTGTGATGAAAATCGCGGCCGTGGAAAATTCGACCCCCAAAACTTTCGTCGCCGACAAACCGTATTAGGTTGGGCTCAGAAGTAAAGCCGGATGCGACGATTAACCTCCGCGCAAACATGGTCAAGGTCTCACCGTGACATTGGAGGGTCAGTATCCATCCCCCTTCAGCTGCTTCTTGGTGCTCTGCCGAAAGAACTCTTGTCTCGAGACGAATAAGTGGCACCAGACCAAATTTTTCTGCGTACGACTTGAGGTACTCGTGCACTGCTCTGGCAGGAATATGTTGGCCTGGTTGTGCGCCAAACTTTCCGCTTTCCATGGGGAAGTCGGGGTATTGATACGTTCCGAACATGTTGTTGGTCTTTAGACCTGGATATAGCCTTTCTTCGGCCCATGTTCCGCCGATTGATGCCTGCGAATCTACTATGGCAACCGAGTGATGCGGCTGGCTGCAGCGATAATGTTTGGCCGCAGCCAACCCGTGGAAACCTATTTTTTGCAAAATTAGCTTCAGAACGACGGCAACGCTCCGTGTCTTTGCAATGACAATGGCGTACCGGCTCCTATGATAACGCAGTCCTTTGAATCCATGGTTGCCGTAAACTCGTCGGGTGTTCCAGCAGGAAGTGACCCGGCTGCGGACTTTAATATGCAGACGCGCCCAGGGGCCTGGTCATCGGAGACAGTTGAAGATATATGACATCTGTGTACGAAATAAAGATCTGCCAGATAAATTGGACCCTTTGTGATTCAGATGAACAGGACACTTCCATCGACCCACTGGACATATTACCCACCCAGCCGTTGTAAAAACACATGCATATATACAGGGATCGGAGCAGATACGGCTCATACGCATCATCCGGGACATCTCGTACCATCGTAATCAATAGAGGGCAACACATCCTGACCATTTTAGTCGCGGCTAAACGCCAAACATCAACAAGGGGTTGCTTCCATGTATTCTTCGCATACCGGTCATGGCGGACACACATGCATCATTGATATTAGCCGGGGAGACGGGATGATGTGGATGACGTAGATAAGTTGTTGAAGAACAGGGCTACAGGCCTCTCAACTGGCTCCTTGATGGGGGGAGTAATCAAGACCCTTGCAAGCTGAAAAGCCGGTAATGGTGTGTACAAGCAGTACAACACAAGGCTTACTCTTCATAGACGTGCTGTGTGCAACCCCCCAGATCTAGCGATGGGCAAATAGTGCCGTCGTCACCCGAGTCAGCATCGCCACACCGAGTATTTGTCTGGTGGTATTGACACTTTTCGCCCCGTAAGCCCTCGCATGCACTCCGTACTGCAACGAAATGAGAAATCCTGCTCATGCAAGGCGCCTGTTTTGGCAAACTCTGGCTCCCCGCCCTCCTAGCAGAAGCAGTCCCCCTTGCAACACGGCCCCTTGACGATACGTCGTTACCAGGGCGAGTTGCCACAGAGCCACAACCTTTGCCTCGGTGGCTGAGGAACTTGTGGATAAAAGCCTCGGCGTCCTTGCCGGTTCCGAAGGTGTTTTGAAAAAAAAAAAAAGAAGAAGAAAAAAAGGCACCGTCTTTCCCTTGCGAACGTGCAGTGCAATTGACCCTGTCGTTCGGTTAGCAGACGCGTCAAGTCTCTTGGTCAACGCCCGCGCACAGGTTGATGGGATCAGATGAGCCTTCCCCGTACTTGATGCCTCAAATATCCATCCTGTCGGTGCCTCCCTAGGCGACCAATGTTTTAATATGAGCCCGGATCGTTTCCACTGACGCACCGGGGTCAGAAGCGCATCCCTTTGGCTGTGCTAAGGTGCCAGTCAGGTATCGGCCCCATTTTTTCTGCGATACCTAACGGGTACCTTTTTAGCGTCAAAAAGGCCCCATACGCTAGGTTCGGCTGTAATATGTGCGATGTAGCTCTTTGTAACTCACAGCATTACTAGTACTTCTATCATCTTATTATTTCCTAGCGGGGTTAAGTATCTTTAAATGTAGGGTTTTTAATTGGCTAAAACCAGAATTCGATACCTGACTGGCACCTTAGCACAGCCAAAGGGATACGGAACTGCCCCGGCAGTTGATGGCTGCATAGGCTGCCAGCATCGTGCTCAAAAGTCCGATAAGCGTCCTGTGTAGTATTACGGTGTTGGCATGCGAATCTGCATGCCAGGTCAAAAAAGTTATAGGTGACGGGGCTCGACCAATTATAAACATGGCGACTCCGAAACGTGCTCGCATATAACTAGTTTTAATAATGACGGCAATTATTGGTCCCCTGTTTTTTTCTCGTTCTTATTTTGACTCTAGTTCCGTCCATCACCATGATGCCCGACACATATATTCCACCAACCAGCCCCTGGCTCCTAACACGTCGATTCTCGTACACAGTCAAGTCGATTAGATGAATTGGGCGGAGCCAGTCTATGGAGCAGCACTGATTACTGGTTGCAACAGCTTGTGTTGCATTGAATTATTTTGGCAAGGCCCAGGTGCCGCCTCACAGGGTCCCTTTGATAGCTTTCGTCCTTGGTGATGTCGCATCAATCGATTGCCACCCGCCAGACTCGAGAAGGTGCCGTCTGGAGCTGTGGTTTCGAGTGTTTTTGTTGCAAATACTGTCGTGTCCATTTATATCACTTTCTGGCTGCTCTCTCCATGCCCGCCCATCAAGAACATTGGCCTCATAGCTTGCCCACGACAATGATGCAAGAATAGCTGCATCAAGGGTCACTTTAAATTCTTGACGAGAGATGGGCCTATACAATGCTCAGGCACAGCTGCCGCCACATTAGGGTATACAGATAACCACAACGAGCCTTGATATCGATTACAGTAATTATTTCTATATAAACATTGAACCTAGACTCCACACAGACTTCACCTAAGCCTCTTGAAGTTTTTTCTCTGCATGATGAACCTCCACAACCAATGACTGCTTGTTTCTGCGGTCCAGCCACGACAGCCCGACAGTCCAAAAGATGAGAGCAATAGAGCAGGCAATCATTGCCCACATGCCTCGCTGAATTGCAAAGGTTAGCAATCATGGGTTAGTCATGTATAGGCGCACATCTCTTGACTTACAATAAACCACGGGGCCATTGATGCTCCGTAGAATAGGATGCTCCACCATGCGTTGACGGCATTGTTGCCAAGGTTCATGCCGGCGAGAACAACACTACGAAAGGCAGCTTGTTCATATCTCATGGCGTCGTTGCACCAGGCGAAGAAGGTGGCTTGGCAGGCGTAGACTACATCGTTTTAATATCTTGTTTTGCGTAAACTGTATGGGACATGTCGCCCTGGGTCACGGGAGAAGACAGCACCAGCTTACCTGAACCTGCCCAGTAGTAGGCTGCCATTGTAACCGTCGTAGAGTGCGGGTTCTTGGGGTCCCGCGACGACACCAAGATCATGATGGACGTCGCGATACTGGTAGCACCGATGAAGTACCCGACAAGATAACGTTTGCCGCCGAGGAAGTCGGTCAATGCAGCCCAAAACAGGGTTGAAACAATGCCCACGGCAGGAACACCGGTAGGGTAGTTGTTCTTTTCAGGCACAGTATACTTATTCACTGGGTGGTTTTGCAGGAAGAGGGCCAGGAGGGAGTTGGTGCTGAAGCTCTCCAGTTCACCGGCAAGACACCACAGGCCGACGAAGCCCCACCAGTACCACGACGACATGACCTTCTTGAGGAACTTGAGGGTGATGGGGGATTGTTCAGGAATTTCAGGGACTCTAGAGACGGCGAGCTTCTTCTCCTCTTCAGTCAGGTAAAAGGCGGTGGTTGTCTGGGGCGTGTCAGGGAAGAAGATGACGCCGTAGATGGCCACGGGGACAGTGAGCAAGCCGTCTACAATAAAGAGCCATCGCCACCCCGCAAGTCCAAGACGGCCATGAAGGCTCTTGTAGATGCCAGACTGAATGAAACCACCAATGAGGGTGCCAGCCAATCCGGAGGATGTAAATATGCCACTGCGCTTACCAAGCTCGCGCTCGGTATACCATGCGCCGAGGATATAGTGAGTGCCGACAAAGGTTGAGGCCTCGCAGATGCCCTGGAAAAACCTGATGGCCATGATGGACTGCGGGTTATGGACCGAGGCAGTGACCATGGTAAGACACCCCCAGAGAATCATCATGGAGGGGAACCAGAAGCGAGGCTTGACATAGTGAAGGGACAAATTGGACGGTACTTGACCGATAACATAGCTGCGATAATGTGTCAGTCATTTCAGGGTAGGGGACGGCAAATATAGAATATTGTCGGGCCAGATGAGTCCTCCTACCCAACGGTGAAGCAAGTATTGATTTCATTCAGCTGGTTGCCCACAAATCCAAGATCATCCTTCATTCCCGATACGTAGGCATTGGCAAGATTGCTGCGGTCGAGCTAAAAGAAAATATGGCGGGAACTTGTCAACAATTGGATGCCGAAGCAATCACCAAACCCCACGGGCCGTGGAAACTCACGTAATTCACCAAATAGCTGAGGCAGCAAAAGGTAAGGATGAAGAAGTCAATCTTTTGGATGAGCTTGCGTTCTCCGGGCTGATATTGTACATGGAAATACTGGCGAAGTCGTGATGAGGCCATGACGGCCAATCGTGTGTGGTGTTGGTCCTGGCAAGGTCGCGGAGACGCACGTGGCCACAGAGAAGCAAGAGTTGATATGGGTCAATGCCGCAGCAGAAATGTCGCAATTCAAGACATGTCCAGCTGCTGTCCAGGTGGAGAACCCCGGATTGTCGTGGTGGATGCGGCGATGAAGAAGTTTTTATCCTCGTTAGCGAGTGCGATGGAGGAGCATGGCTGCAAAGGGCTTTGCGGCCGAGAATTGCGGTTTGGAATGCATGTGCCACATTGATGTCAACTTGCTTGGTAGAGGCTGGCAGAGAGGGCCAGGGCCCAGTTGGCATGACACCCCGCGCAGCATCCAATGATCCTACCGTTGACCAGACCAGACTAGACTCCAGGCGGCATTCGAGGTGCTGGAGCACTACAGTCCAGTGGGGGTTATTCACAGGGACCTTTCTGTTAACAGGAGCTCTTTTTATTTATATCAGTGGCTGTTAACTGTAATATACCAAGTAGGTTAAATGACAGGGGAGTAGTGGCTCTTGTAATAGTGACATGGACCTTCTTTATTGATAAGAGATTTTATCGCGTTATCAGGTACTTTTAACCCCCATATGCTCTCTGTAGGTGATATCCTATTGGCTTTAACCCCCTTTGCTATGTCACACCTGGCTAAACATTCAGGGTCTGCATTGTATGGAGTACGGGGTACACCTGGCCAACTGATGGCTGGCGGCTCAGGTGCTCCGTAGCCGCGCCCCGGAGCCCCCAGCTCTTTGTGCCCTTTGTTGACTCCAGATGTCGGTGGAGCGGCCGCTAAGCAGGATGTGGTGCTGGGTCCCGCTTTTGTTGACCGGATCCAAGATCACTACTCCGTTGTAACTAGTACATTCAAGTGTTTCGATCCTACTCCGTATAGTTACCAGCTAGCCTGGTTCGTGCTACAGAACCCGACGCAAAGATAAGAAGACACTCGACTCCAGACTCCCGCTTTTCGCATCGTTAACCCCAAGACCCAGTCGTCTCCCGATAAATCCATCTTGGCATGAGAGAAAAGCCTCCCGAGCTAGACTCCAAATTTGATCGCATGCCTCTTTGGGCTGTGATAACGTCCCTCAGAACCGCCACACAGCATTGAACGCCCGCGCGCCCTTATCGTCAGGTCCAGTACTCCTCGGCGCCGCATTGTTCAACGACGCCGCCATGCCGTCGCTTCGGCGATAAACCGAGAGTTATCACCGCCAGACATCTTCGTAACTAGCTCCCGAGGGGGGTTGATAAGGTCTAGTGTGCCCAAGGTCGGGTCGCCATAAGGGCTCGAAAAAAAGGTTTTGCTTTTGTCTGGGATCGTGGCACCTCCGACTCGGCCCTGGTCCGGAGAGTCTGGGGTAAGTAACATCAGGGAAAACGTGGCGATGAACCAGGGCAACGAGGCTTTGATATAGAGAAGTCTCGGGTGCTTAGCTCAACGTCCGGAATAGCAGCTCTCGATGCTGCTATCAATTCATCCGGCTGACGACCTTGACGCTGCAACGTGAGCAATCACACACCACCCGTGCTTCTTGCCCGTCCAACGTCCAGGCACCAATTGTTGACCAAAGGTGACGATGCTGCAACATGAGCAGTCGCACACATGTGCATGTTTATGCTCATGCCTATCCAGCTTCCAGGCATCAATTGACCCCGAGTGTACTGTACTCCCTCGCGCGGATGACGCAGCCATCCAGTCGTCCAGCCATCCGCCAGACCAACACAACTGTGGCGCACCAGCCAGGTTTTGCTCATCTCACTCCAGACTTTGAGGAGATAAGTACGGATGGCTGGCAAATCAGGCCCAACAAGTGCCGCGAGCCCAAGCCCTCTACGGAGCAACCCCGTATTGATCCTGCGGCTGCTCTTGCCTCCCTGCCTCCCTGCCTCCCTCGTACTGCCTCGTACTGCCTCTTTCTCCGTCCTTCTATTTCTCTCCCCCTCGGCAATATTTAACCGGTCCCGCGGTCGCTCTTTCCTCCCCCAATTATTGCGCAAATAGCCTCTTTCCCTTTCCAGTAACGAACCTATGCTCTTCCCATCGCTCTGTCGCCTCCCGAGTTTTTCCACCAGACTTCTCGCCTCAGCTCCCTTTGCCTGATCGCCAGCACCCGCATTGCCGCCTAGGATGAGACCGAACTAGACCATGGATATCGAATATCGGCATTAGTCGACTGGTCCCCTCGTCAACCTGAACCCTCCCCCTACTCGTACCGGCTATCCATATTTTCACGAAACCCACCGGCGGTGCCTGATGCCCGTACATGTTTCCTAGGCATGGTGCCACCGGTGGAGGTGAAGCCACGTGGGAAGCCGCGTGGAATGCGCCGAGACCGGGACTGCCACAGCTGCAAGTCGAGGAACATCAAATGCGACTTGAATCGTCCATCATGCTCGCAATGTCTTGAAGCCAACATCGCATGCGGCGGATATCCGCAGCGCGTCATCTGGGCAGCGGATCGGTTAGGCAAGGATTCTCAAGGTGTTCTGTTGCCAGCCCCCGCTTCAGCTTCCGGCTCGTCGCCGTCGTCATATGCCACCAAAGTGCCCAAGAGGCAGCGCAGAGAGCCCAAGTCAACGCTGTCCGACTGCAATGCCTTGTCGCCAGACCGAGACTTGACAAAGACGCCAACCAGCGATGCCGCTGCGGTAAAGAGCGAAAGTCCCGTCTTGGAACTGCGTCGCATGCCCGCCACGGACCAAAACAGCTTCATCACCAGTCTTATCGCCTTTTACCAACACATTATATCAACGGACGGGTCCGCGGCAGACCATGGCCATCATCTCTCATCCGAAGCTGTCCGGCTCATCTCCAAGCTGCACGATCTCATGAAGGCGCGTATCGAGGGCCGCTTGGCTGGGTCGTTTGCTGGGGGAGACATGCGGGACTCGATAGATACGGCTCGCCACCGCCTTGCTGCCTTGATTGGCCTCAACGAGGCCCTTGAAGCCGCAAACCCCTTTGCCTTTCTGGGAATCGCCGCCTTTGCCGTGCTAGAAGTGTGCGACAGCCCTTTCGGCGAATGGCAGCGGCACCTCCACGGCGCCAAATCCCTTCTAGATTACCATTGCCCCGACCCGCCTGCCTTGGAACAGCTGTCCCACACCGTAACAGGGTTAACAGAAATTGTTGCCAGATTGGTCTGGTGGGACACACTAGGGGCCATTGCCAGAGGCAGCAGGGGTCTTATATTTGACGACTGGCATCGGCAGACCCTTGACCAAAGCATCTTTCAGGTTGTAGGCTGCTCGGCAGACACGTTTGATCTGTTTAGCCGGGTGGCCAAGGGCGAAGTCGCAACTGATGCCTTGAGTTGCTGTATATTGGCCATGGACCAGCTTGCCAGGATCGCCTCGGATGAGTCTGCCTGGGTCCTCTCGGCCAACGTCAACAGATGTGCATCCGCCATTGCGGTGCTGGCCCAATTTGAGGACACGGCAGATGGGCATGCACAGAGAGCCATGGATTCGGCGGTTGAGCGGGCTTGCCAACTGATTTCTCGCATGTCGCCATGCTCCATCTACTATATTCACGTAGCCGTATCGGCATATTTGGCCGGCATGCACGCGGCCTCGACTCACCAATGCGAAATTCTACGTGCGTATTGGCATCACTGCAACCATGCAGGTGTCCAACGTTACCCTGATGGCTTGGCAAAATGCGAAGAGCGGTGGAGAGCTAGAGGACTGACCGGACGTGTCTCGTGACGTTGAATTCCCGTTACCATTTCAATTGGAATACAAGGACAGATGATAGGAGCCTCAAGAAAAGAATGATTTAGCCCACCCCCGCCAAATACTTGGTGGTGCACAGACTCATACTCGACGTGACTTGTTTGTGAGCCCCGGGGATACATGGGTCGTCGCTCGCTCAACGCTGACCACGTCGGGGTTGATGGTTGGTTGATATTGGCTGGGCAGCGCCGTCAATTGAGCCTCACCACATGGCCCAACGGTGAACAAGGATGCATAAACAGGCGATTAACCACTGCAAGCCACCGCCCAAAGTTCCGGGGTTTGCGCCCGGCTCCCCGCCCGCCGGGTGGTGGCATCGGCTGCTCGACTCGACCCCAGGTCCGTGGAACGCCATTTACCTCGGACGCCATACCCGTCGCTCCCACTTGACTATACCAGTCGTCCATTGTGTGGAACTTCTCAAACACTGCCGTAACAGGAAACCATTCTATTTCTCTTGGTTGTTCACTCCCTTGGTGTTCCCCCACTCTCTAATGACTCCAGCCAGCCCCAACCCAATTGCTTTGTAGCCTTATCGGTAGTAGTTGGACTATGTGAAGAGGACGAACGGTAGGTATTGGGTCTGACCACTTCGGCGCCAGATGCCCCTTCACACCCCGCATGCACTCGCCGAAAAAGTCAAAGTACGCCGTCTGCGTCTCGCTGTGGCACGCCGACTTGAACGAAGCCTATCTGGTCCAACGCGCCGGCATCGGGCAGCAGTCCGTCCTTCTTATAAATCCATTCCGCCGTTTTTCATGAAACCGAGGCATGGACATGTAGGTCCGCTTGGTTGTGGCCTACCTAACTAAATTCTTTTATTTTGCCGCTGCCAAAGCGAGCGTTCTTGCCTCCCTCACCAACAGCGACAGCCGCAGGCACGAGGCTTCACTTGTGTGCTGCCCATCAAAATGACGTCAGCCACGTCAACCGCCGTGAATGGGACAGACGGCACAAATGCGAGGGACGGGACAACTGGCCGTGCGTCTTGGGAGCAAATCGGCGCCAGGAAGCGACAAGAGCTGCTCGCGTCTATCCCCCAAGAGTGGCTCATTCCGGCAGACGTGCTACCCGCCGAGACTGAAGATGACGTGACTTCGTGGCCGGAGGCGTGTGGATGGTTCACGGCGGAGGAGCTCGCCATTACAAACGCATCGGCGACAGAACTGATTCCAAAGCTTGCATCTGGGGAGCTCTCTTCCGAGGAGGTGACGAGGGCGTTCTGCAAGAGAGCTGCAGCTGCCCATCAGCTGGTATGTTGCACACGTATAGATCCATTCATGCTCCCCCATCACTAACACGCATTGCATTTGTAGACAAATTGTCTGTCAGAGACGTGTTTCGATCGCGCCATCAAGACTGCCAAAGAGAGGGATCGCCATCTCAGGCAGACCGGCGGGCCTGTCGGTCCTCTCCACGGGCTCCCCATCTCTCTCAAGGACAACTTCAACCTCGAGGGCTTGGATGCCACCGTCGGCTTCGTGTCCCTCGTCGGCGATGCAGCCAAAGCGGATTCCACTCTGGCACAGCTCCTGGAGAATGCCGGAGCCGTCTTCTACGTCAAGACCAACACCCCCACGGCCATGATGATTGCAGAAAGCGTCAACAATGTGTTCGGCCGCACGGTCAACCCGCTCAACAGGAAGACCACGAGCGGCGGCAGCTCCGGGGGCGAGTCTGCGCTTCTCGCCATGAAGGGGAGCCCGATGGGGGTCGGGTCGGACATTGGCGGCTCGCTCCGCATTCCCGCCGCTTGCACGGGCATCTTCACGCTTCGCCCATCCTCCGGGCGTTTCCCCGTGAGAAACACGCGCTCCGGGATGCCGGGACAGGAAGCCGTGCCGTCGGTCAACGGGCCCATGGCGCGGACCCTCGACGACATCACCATGTACACCAAGAACGTGGTGGATGGCCAGCCCTGGCTTCTGGATCCGCGGTGCCTGCCCATTCCGTGGCGGGACGTGCGGCTGCCCAACAGGCTGAGGATTGCCGTCATGTGGCATGATAACATGGTCCGTCCAACCCCGCCGGTGACGCGTGCTCTTGGCGAGGTCGTGTCCAAACTCAAGGCTGCCGGGCACGACGTGGTAGAATGGGACCCTGTTGACCAGAAGGAAGGCCTCGAGCTTCTGGGCCGCATGTTTGTCGCAGACGGAGGCACCGCCATCCGGAAGCAGTTGGAGAGGACGGGCGAGCCGTGGAGACCGGAGATGGAGCAGTACAGGAACGCGAAGGAGCTGTCGACGTACGAGATGTGGAACCTGCAGCTGGAACGAGTCGACTTCCTGAACCGTTATCTAGACCGCTGGAACAGGGCCGGCATCGATGCCATTTTGTGCCCGACCATCCCGTTTAATACCGTCAAGAACGGCTCTTTCAAGCATAGTATGTGGTGCTAAAGAGGGGCGAAGAGTTGCTGAGGAACAAGAATGTGTTGGGCTAACGTCTTCATTTTTTTTTTTACAGTTGGGTACACGGGTGTTTACAACGTTCTCGACTACTCGTGCCTTTCTTTCCCGACTGGCCTAACTGTCGACAAGGCTATTGACCGCATTGAGGGACTATACCAGCCTCTCGGCTCGGATTGCGAGGCCATCAATGGTGACTGTGAGTATCTCCGCTCCCGCTATCCCCGGCCCCTCGCCCGGAACAAATTAGTTTGCGATGCAAGAAAATAAATACATGTATACTTATGTGGCATTCTGTAGACGACGCTGAGACTATGCATGGCCTGCCGATCAGTCTGCAGCTTGTGGCGCGGCGGTTGGAGGAGGAGAAGGTTCTGGCTATGGGGAAGAGGGTCTTGGAGGCACTCCGCTCCTAGAGGCTACACGACAAGGTGAGAGAATGGTAGCGCAAGCATATCCAGCAAAGTGCTTGTAGCTTTATTGTCATTTTTGTGTAGGACCAAAAATACCTAGGTAGATGAATTTGCATAGCATGTATGTTTTTTTTTGTGCGTCAAATTTTGACAGGTACACGACATTGGCTGCGCCTGAACTCTAGACTTGCGCTGCCATGGCCAATTCTGCAATGTCATGAAGCAAAGTCCAAGGCAGGAATGCTGTCAAGCACCAAACGGAACAGAGCAAGCGAGACACACAGCAGGTATATCTGCCAGTAATTCTGATCAAACCTCGTGACGGGTCATTAAGCTTCCCCGTATCTGATGCGATGCCTTGGTCGAGGCATGCATTAATCATATCAGACCACCTCCATGGCAGTGCCAAGAAACGACGCACGTGGTGATCCGCGCCGCAGCAGCTGAAACAAGTTCGACTCGAAAGCCGCAAATGACTTTTATGACTCAAGACAGTAGAATGCATCGCCCCATTGAGCGGGGCGTTGTGTTTCTGCGACGTCGGAAGACCCCGTAAGGAAACTCGCACGTTTCTTTACTCACTCTGCTTATGCTTCTGACTCGCCTGGTGTTTAAGCTTAAAAGTGTCTCGAGTTTCCTGCACATGCTAATCAGCTACAGAAACGCAGTGTATAAGAGGAAAGAAACGTTGGTATTTTATTATACGTTTCTGCCTTTGAAAAGACGAGGTGATGTCTACGTCGTACCTGGAGGGGAAAAAAGGAAAGAAAAAGGCAAAAAAGATAGTCAAAACTACTAAGTTGCCCTCGAGAAGAGGGTGAAGATGTCAAGTTCAATAATCAACCTTCCTTGCTGGAACAAGAACAGCCTTCTCTATACGGTTACCATGTTTGAAGCCCCTACCGGACCGAATGATTCAAGGTGTCTCGAGTTACGCGTCTGAGGCAAGTTTGGCAGGACCTTGCGATATCATCTTTCCATGTGGCAGTTGCGGCTGAGACATGCGCCGGCCCAAGATCTCATACCAAGTAAACACCAGAGACTGACTCTGCTGGCTCTCTTTGCGAGGTCGAGCAGTGTATAACCAGGTTGTACATCCGAGTATATATATAGCAGGTCTCTCTGCTCCCAACAATGCACAACCACACCATTAACAAACACTCATCGTACTCGCACCATCTTCAACACTGCTCTGTTAATTCGCTCGGTCTGGCTACCGTACCAATCATTGTCGAAAACTTTTTTACTACAATTTCATTTTAAATATCACCACCCCCCTTGCAAACTTCACAATGGTTCGCGTGACTGCTCTTGCTATTCTGGCTTGTGTGTCACACCGGCCTGCAGCTCTTCACATAGCCGAGGACTAACACGTTGACCAGTTGCCGCATCTGCCCTGGCGGCCCCCCAAGGCCCCAACAATGGCAGTGACCAGATCTTTGACTTTAAAGGCAAGCCGTTGACCGGCGAGAAGAAGGCCAAGTTTCTGGATCTAGATACCCAGGGCGAGGCGAAGTTGGAGCAAGAGAAAATGGAGCAGGAGCTAAACTCGATTCATGAAGAGCAGGATGATCTTCTGGGTGTTCCAAAGGGGCAGTAGACATAGTGTACACAATGAGATGAATCGTCAGGGATGGCTCTGTGCAAGATGTGGATGGAGAGGCCGTTACTACAGGTTTCAACGGAGCGAGCTAGAGGTTGGAAGATGAGTTGGGCGGCAGCAGGGTTTTTCATCCAACTAGGCCACTAGCTAGACATCTCACTTGTAGCCAAGTATGGTTTTCCCTCTTGATCTATTCAATTAGCTGGCTAGTGAAATCAAGAGTGTAATTGGATTGAGAAGGTGACCGAACGAAAGGCTGTGTCTATATCAATCTACAAGCTTTCCACGAGGGTTCGGTGCAGGATTGCGAAAGAAGTCTCCAGCGCGCCAAGAAAACCGGTCGCTTTACACCCCTTGCCCCAGACTTTAAAGCCGCCCCGTATTTCACCACAATATGAATACTACTTGAGCCTTCTTACGTACGTTGGTGTAGACGGTTTCGATCCCTCCCGTGCGACTCAATGGGACATGGTACGATCGCAGTCTTCTGGTACAATGCGTCAATAAACCTTGGATGGCCATAAGTGGTAATGGGACAAAAATGTCGCAGCAAATCGCGCTTCCAAGATACTTTAAGCTAGCACTCTTCACGGCGTTTGGCTCGGCTATCGTGACTGTGATGGCTATTGGCACCGAGTTCACCGTGATGGGTCGGCGCGAATTGCAGTTTGGATTTCCACCTGAGACTTGTGTGAACTGGACGCTCAAAGCAACGTGTATCCAAAGCAAAGCGGAGGCTCTGGATCCCGTGGTGTTGGTGACCTGAGTGGTATTCTTCTAGTGTTGATCAAGGCGATGCCAAGGTGGCGCTGCCAAAGCTGATCGGTCGGTTCGCGGAAGACGAATTCCACAAGAATACAATGTATCAAAGGCGCCTCACAATAGATCCTATTCGTTTCGTTTGATTTTTCAAACGAGGCTCGTTTTGATACTGCTCAGGAGTGTTCGAGTTCGCCCGGCCGATGAAGGAAGGCGGCCGCGCTTCGTGTTCCAAGGGTCAGGAGACAACCGCATTTGGTATGATTGAGGGCTATCCACAAGGCAATTTGGGCGTTCCAATCTGACTACTCTGGTCATGGCTTAAGTGGACATTGTTGTACCAGAAGAGGGAATTGGGGGCAAAATGGGTTAGAATGAGACTGACAAGCGAAGTATTAAAATGCTATATATCAGCCACGGGCTAAAATGTAAAAAAGAGACGCTAGTTATTGTGATTGGCAGCGGGACGAGCCTTTTTGGGGCCGGAAGACGGCGGCGTTGACACGATTGAGTCATTTGTTAAATGTATGTAGTATGTTGCCGGAGTCGCTCCCGCCCCGCCTGTGGAAGCCAGTCGATCAGTAACTTGTATATGTTGACGATCCACCCGCCGCCCGGGGGATCACAGCCTTTGTCAATGTCGGGCGTCACCAACGGGGTCAAGTATATTACACAGGCGGATCCAAGAGTGCGTGACAACGCATAGTAGCGACATACATATGTAAAAAAGTTCTAAATGTATATGCTGGACATTCGCCGAAACGAGGAGCCAAGGAAATGGCTTGTCCCGTCCAACAGAACATTGCGGCGCGGGATGCCGTGTCGTGTTGAAGGGAGGTTAAAAGGGCCACCACGGACAACATTGAAGCCATAAACCCGCCACCACTACCAACAAACCCTACCCATGTACCTAGGGAGTTGAGCAGAATGCTGCTGGTGACCCCGCATCAACTGTTTCAAACAACCGAGAGCCTCGGCCCCGGGGGCCTGGGGTCTGGTGACGGTCGGAGTACACGGCGCCAACACGTCTTGACACTTGACCAGTCTGGTTTCTTTTTTTCCTTGGCGACGCCAACTGCGTCCCATTTTCACGCGTAGTAAAGGCCGGCCGTGATGCTTTGGCTGTTCATATAGACGCTATTGACAGATTACAACTTTGATGGTACAAACTCCGGCTTCGTCTTTGTAACAAACGCCATGAGGCCAAGACGTAGATTTTCCCCCTCCAGGAGGCCCTTGGCGTATCTGTCTTGGACCAGCTGGGCTGCTCTTTCAACACTTGCCGTCTCCCAGGTCTCTCTCAGACCAGCACGGCTCACAATGATGGCATCCGGCGACATGGCCGCGACGTCCTTGGCCAGTTCAACGGCGTCACCTACAACAGCCTCCGGCGACGCGGCAACTCGGCAAAAACCCAAGTCCCTTGCCTCGTTGGCGGACAAGACTCGGCCGGCAAGCACAATCTCGGACGCCATTTGCATCCCAAACGTCCTCACGGCGCGGGGGATGCCTCCGGCTGCCGCCCAGAGACCTCTCTTTGCCTCGGGCAACCCAAACGTAGCAGAGGGGGACGCAACAATCATGTCGCTGCAAACCGTGGCGTTGTACATGGTCAGTAAACCACTTGGGAAAAAAAAAAGGGCCGGCTGCCGTGAACCGTGACACGCGACGTACCAGTTGAGCGCAATTTCGAAACCTCCGCCCAATGCGAAGCCGTTGACCGCGGCAATGACTGGCTTCTTTCCCACGCGTCTGGTGAGCCCCATGAAGCCGCCGGTGGGAAAGGACGGCGCGTCGGGCTTCTCGAGAGAGTTCTTCTTTTGGGCCTGCTCTTTGAGGTCGGCGCCGCAGCAAAAGGCCTTTTTGCCCTTGCCGGTGACAATGGCGACCCGGAGCTGGGGTTCATCGTCAAACCACTGCCACAGCCGCTCGCCCTGCCAGTGGCCGGCCATGGGGATGGCATTCATGTGTGACTCGCGGTTGATGGTCACCAGCAGCACGTGCTCCGCCGGGAAGCTCAGCTCATAAAAGGACAATTCCGGAGGCTGTGAGGCAAGTGATGGCGCCATGATGAGGACGAGGCCGAGCAAGCAGGCTACGCTGAGAAAAGGCTGACTGAGCCGGCTGCCGTTTATATGTCAAGACTACGACGCGGTTTGTTGCGCAAAAAGAGCATGGCAGCAACTACCTCGATGCATGTTTAATAGTTGACATTCAAGAGGCTGGTCCACCGGCTTCAGCCTGTCTGCATTGGGCCGGTTGCCGGGAGTCCGCCCAAAACCCGGCTCCAGGGCTACGCGCCAACTGGGGTTGATCGGACTATCGGGCCAAATATTTAGGGGCTGTCCGGCGGCGTCTTTAAGAACATTGAAATGAACTGAGTACTCCGTACATATGTAGTGTATCATTCGTGAACCCCGCCGGGAACCACTACTGATCGGTTAAGTTACTGAACATGGGGCAATGAAATAAGCACATGGCATTGCCGGCTATTGACAGTTTAACAGCAAGCAGATCAGAACATTACGTTTGCCTTCCTTCCCAACCAGCAAAACAAGAGTTTTTTTTTTTTTTTTTCATCAATTTCACCCCCCTTGACGTGTTTTGCCGAGCGAGACGGCATCCCCTATTCGTATACCGGTAACCTCTGAGCCTCACCCTTTGGCACAATGGCCACGCAACCGGCGGTGCCCATCATCGTGGGCGTGGGCGACTTGCGCAACAAGTCGTTCAAGGTGGAAGACGCCGTTGAGCCGGCGCAGCTCATGGTCAACGCTGTTCGGCGCGCCGTTAATGACAGCGGACTGGACCAAGCCGCCCAGAAGTCTCTGCTGTCGCAGGTTGACAGCCTGAGAGTAGTGCCAACCTGGACGTGGGCATACAATGACTTGCCCGGCGTCATTTCCCATCGACTAGGCATAAAGCCGACTCGTCGAGTCCTGGGCGAGCACGGCGGCAACCAACCGGCCTTGCAATGCGACGAAGCCGCCCGAGACATTGCCGCCAGAAGGAGCATCGTTTCAGTATTGACGGGAGGAGAGGCGCTGGCATCTCGCAAGTCTTGCCCATCTCTGCCGCAACAACGAGGGAGTCGTGTTTGCTGACTCGCGATTGCAGTTGCTGCCTGTCAAAAAGCTGGACAAAACCCTCCCAAAGGCTGGCTCGAGCCTGATCCCAATGGAAAACAGCTCGCATCTCTGGACCTTTCCATCCTCAAAGAAAGTAAGTGTAGATCCCCAGGTCGCACGGCGCCACATCCTCATCTAATAACACGCCGCTTCCAGGCTCCGGCACCTTGCACTCCATGGGCCTTCCCATCCATGTATACCCTCTATACGAAAATGGCCGCCGTGCCCACCGGAGACTGTCCGCGACAGAAAATTCCATCGAGTCTGCTCAAATGTATGCCGAGTTTGACAGAATCGGGTCCGAGAATGAGTATTCCTGGAACTACCAGCAGCCTCCAAAGACAGCTGAGCAAATCGGACTCGTGTCCAAGAAGAACAGGATGATTTGTGATCCGTGTAAAGCCACACCGGCGTTCCCTCGACGAATTACATGACCAAAGCTAACGAGCGACCAGATCCCCTGTTGATGAATGCCTTTAACGGCGTCAACTTGTCGGCAGCCTGCATCCTTACATCGACAGAAAACGCAAAGCAGCTTGGTATTCCCCAAGACAAGTGGATTTATGTTTTGGGCGGTGCGGGCACGCACGAAAAGGACAATTGTGAGCGCTGCCTACCCTCGGGAGCTGTGAATAATCATGGCTAGATGCTGACAACAACATGCTCACTAGTTTGGGAACGGCGGCATCTGCATCACAGTGAAGCCATTGCAAAGTCAATCGATGCCGCGTTGGATGTTTCGGGCCTCTCGACGGGCGACATTGACTGCTACGACTTCTACTCGTAAGTTAGACTGCCTGCCTGCTTGCATATGCAGTCGTCGTCATTGACACAGCCATACCAGGTGTTTTCCGATCGTGCCCAAGCTTGCCTGCGATCACGTTGGCTTGTCTACTACATCATGGCAAAAGCCCATCACGCTCCTAGGGGGCTTAACCTCATTCGGAGGCGCCGGAAACAACTACTCCATGCACGTAAGTCTCGGTCGCCCGCGCTTGATGTGAAAGGGGATCCACGCAGCCCACTGTATTAACATTGTCAAGGCCATCACCGCCATGGCCCGGGAACTACGGGCCAAGAGGCACAACACTGGTCTCATTCTAGCCAACGGCGGCATGCTCACGCACCAGCATGCTCTGTGCTTGTCGGCCCGGCCTAGGGGAGACGGACGAGCCTACCCGACGAGTAATCCGTTGCCAGAAATCGTCGATGGATACAGTCCGCGGTTTGCCGAAGCAGCAGATGGCACGGCAACGATTGAGGTGAGCTTTGGGAGCCTCCCACTTCAGGGGACCTATATATCCAGCCATGGCTAACGTCATTCTAGACTTATACCATCGAGTACAACCGAGATGGGACGCCGGGCGTAGGCCTCATTGTTGGCAGACTACGAGGGACAGGCCAGCGATTCCTCGCCAACCACGGCGACGACCAAACTCTGTCTCGGCTGGCGACTACCGCCACAGAGCATATTGGAAAGACTGGAAGGGTAAGAACAGGAGACGACGGCCGGAACTTGTTCTTTCTCGACGCAATGACGAAGCTGTAGACAAAATTGTTTGTTCATGCCAATATATCGTGAGAAAGTATGCTATGACTTGTGCCAATTGGAAAGCCCAATTTCATAGTGAAAAGGCAAATGAATTCGGTTGAAGCTCATTTCTCGATCATGCCCATGTCTACAATGACGGCGTCTACAAGTACTTCTCGACAAAGTCGACATAGTTGCCCAATCTGGTGTAAACACCGTACTTGTCTGGTCGAGCGCAGCCCACGCCCCACGAAACAACTCCGATCAAAGCTCCAGTAGCAGTATCGACAATCGGGCCACCGCTGTCTCCCTGGCAAGCATCCTGGCCGCCCTGCTCCAGGCCTGCGCAGAACATGTTCTCTGTGACCTCTGACGGCGTGGGTGTGCTGTAGGCAACTTTGCAAGTGCCACGGTCCACCACGGGAACCGTCACCTTTTGCAACCGTGCAGGAACCGTTCCGCCTTCGGTCAAGCGACCCCTAAACTCAGAAAGTCAGAACTGGGCGAAGACTCGGCGAGGTTCGCTCTAGAAACGTACCAGCCAGCTACGGTTGCGTTGGAGCCGCTCGCCGGGTCAGAGCCTTGCGCAGGCAACTTGGCGTATTGAATCGTTGAGCTTTCAGGAATCGGGGTTGCCAGCTTCCAGACGGCAACGTCATTGTCATAATTGGTGCTGTTGTAACCAGGGTGACGGACGGCAGAGGCCACCTTGACTTTTGTGCCGCCAGATGCCCAAGCCTACGCAGCGTTGCGTGTTAGCCATGGGTTGCTGAAACGAGGACAAGTGAACAAAACTGGTCTTTTCGACAAGTCTTTTTTACCCCACAAGAACATAAAACTCACAAGTGATCCCGCACGGATTTCGTATCCTGAAACGTCTGATTTGGTGCAATGACTGGCGGTGACAACTGTATCCTCGTTTACCAACGTTCCACCGCAATAGTGCGTGCCGTTGAGCAAAACGGTCACGATAAAAGGGAATTCGCCCTCATTGGCTGCCTGTCCACCGACGATGAATTTGCCCCCCTTTGCCGGCGCGGCAGTCGCAGACTGAACTGCGAAGACGGCGCTCGCGATCGCAATAGCTGACCTGGAGACCATTTTGTAGGGCGGGACCGAAGATGCTGGGGTTTGGAACAGGGAGAATCGACTGCTTTGATGAATTAAAAAACAAAAAAAGGGCCAATACAGTGAAAGGCTTTGCCCGTATTTATGCGCAGACTTGCTTCAGTTTGAAACTTACACCGAATCCGCTGCCACCTGCCCTTTCCATCTTTTTGATGGGTTCGAACCCATGACACCGGTGATCACGGATGTCCGTCAGGGTCAAAGCCCGTGCTAAAGATGTAGATCTTGTGTAAAAGAAGCTTAAAGCTCGCATGTGCACAGTCACGAATCTAGGCAAGGCTAAGCACGAGCTACAAGTCGCAACGACAGGACATGGCTGAAAGGCAGAACGCTCCACAGGGCCGACGTTGCAGCACCGAGGGCTCGCCATGATAACATACCAGCGAACCATGCCATGACCGTTCTTGGCAGATCCGAAGAGGCAGGTTCAAGGGCGGAGACGATTTCTGATTTGGCCCTGAACCCAACGGCATCCCTTGCTCAGTGGCCAATGGAATCGCGCGCCGTCTAAACCAAGAACCTTAGTTACGCACGCGGCCGCTTGAAACGGTCGATCATTATCCGAATTCGACAACATGTTCCGTATCCTCCTTCTGGACTAGGCAGAAATAAGTACAACCCTCGTGTTGCCTTCGCCTCGGGATCGGCGCCCTAGTTGGAGACGAACAACTTACCATTGTGCAGACCGGACACGAGAGAAATGGAGAGCCGGGAGCGCTTAAACTGCCTCGGTGGGCAAATTGTTTACTTGGCAACTTACAGACAGTCCCCTGGGCTGACGGCTTGCCGGGCACAAGCAACTATGCAGCCTCATGGGTCGAGCGATAACTATGAATCGCCCAATTTTCGCAGTCTATGTCTAACACCAGACGCTGACTTGTACCAATGAAGCACCGTAGCATTCACGATGGGACCTGCGGTGGCTCATCCGGGCGGAGCCACTGCACCTTAATAACCTTCCTTTCGTGGCGCCAACCGAATATTGGAGAAACGGCAATTGACAGCTCATACGTTCTACCTAGAGATAATCAGTTTATACTCTGGAATAGTCCCCATATATCGTCGCTTGGCAAAGCACTATTGGCGACTTGTCGAGGCAGGTGCAAAGACCTCATATCAATGCCGTGGGGGTTTTTACGTACGTTTACACTCGAGACTGCCAGTCATGAAGCATTCTAGTATAAACGCCGACATATTGAAATAGAAGCAACAAGGCTACCGTCATGAGTGGAATGCATGTATATTAAATTGCGCGCCGAGTATATTCTTGCATGGGTAAACAAAAGTTGCCAAGTGCACTTGCTCCCACTGCGGGAAAAGCTCATGTGATGAGAAATTTTACATCGACGGGCTCTCGTCTTGCGGGCGGTCCTAAAGCCTGGATTCCCTCACGGGATCCAACAGGTCCTTCATTTCGAAACTCGGCCAGTCGGGGTTGACTGACGGGTCGGGTCTTTCGCGATCCCACGCCCACTTCTTGGCCAGCTGTGCAGAGAGCGAGCTCTCCAACATGTCGACTACGTATTTCCCAATGACAGGGAAGAACTTGTACCCGTGGAAAGAGCCGCAGGTTGCCACGTAGAGTCCCTTTGACGCCGTGTGTGGCGAGATGATGAAGTCGGAGCTGGTGGTGAAGGCATCCCTGGATATGACATGGTCAATTGCGAAGGCCCCCCTGCCTCCTTTGGGACTGCAGCAGCTTCGACTTACCAGCAGATGCGGTGCTTCTCAAACTTCCATTTCGCAACTTGGTTTCCATAGAAGACGCTGCTCACGTTGAGAATGTCTTCCTTGAGCCTTTCGGAAATCTTCCACTGCGCATAGTCCGCTTCCGCCGGAGGCATCGAGATGAAGCGTCCTGGGAGAACCTCTTTGGTGTTCTTGAAAATCTTCTGTCCCCACCACTTGAGCTCCCTGTCTTTGGTTGGAGGCAGACTTCCCATGAATGGAGCTGGCATGAGCGAACCGTCAGCTTTGCTCAAGACGAGTAGGAGCGGGCAAAAGGGGGCCACGGCGCGGTTTGTTACCTTTCAGTGTCGTATATCCTTGGATGCCAACCGGCATATCTGCAAACTTGGGGTATGAGTCGTCATCGAGTCGTGTCATGCCAGTCGTGATTCCGCCGGCCAGGATCCTTGAACCGGCCTGCAGAGTGTTTAAGCCGCTCGTCGCGGCGCTCATTTCCAGCAGCTTGGGCGTGAAGGCGCCGGTGCAGAGAACAACATGGGATGCCCGTAGGTTCCGGCCTTGGGCAGTCTTCACACCGGTACACCGTCCGCTCCGGTCAAACTGCAGTGTCGCCACCTCCTCGGCCACATACTTGACGCCCAGCTCCACGATTCTGCGGGTGACGGCCTGCAGGCAATCTCCGGCGGCAACCCAGCCACTGGCTTTGTTCACGAGCACCTGCTCTACATTTGTATAGTCAGACTCGTTGAACAGCCCTCGAAACATTTTGCGAGCCGCCTCGACGGGCCAGACGGAAATGTCATTGTGGCGGCCGAGTCTCTCAAAGTTGCTGATGCAGTCGCGGGCATAGTCGCGCCCGCACATCCAGTAGAGCCCGGTCTGGTGGAAAAAGGGCTTCCACAGAGGATCAGACGTAAACACGTCTTGCGCTTCTAGCGCCAGTTCGCAGTATACGGGGTCGTCGTAGTCGGCTCGCATCACCTTGTTCCAGTCCCACGACGCGGCAACCCGATTATCAGCGTCAAATGCATCTCGGTCGATAAGAGTCACCGACGCCTCGGGATACTTTCGAATAAGGTGGTATGCAGTGGATACTCCAAAAACCCCCGCGCCGACGATGATGTAAGATGAATTGGCAGGGGCCATCCTGTCGAGGGCTCGATGCTGAATCTAGGGAGAAACGGGCAGGTTGGCGGCTGGTGATGGGTTCCTTATATGTATTCTTGTCCTCGTCTCCCCCACCATGGCTACTGATGGGGTACAAGGGTCAGGAGCTCTGAATGTCATCTTCTTGCCGTGCCCAACACGCTGTGAAAGTGCCTTATCAGTCAATCGGCTTTACCCCGAGGCCGATCTCGCCTGGCCGGGTTGGAATTCGTGTGTCAATCTTCGGGGGTTCGGTGTTGGTTGCCGGGTCCGCCGCTCACGTGACTTGCATTGTCCCGGCCTGGAGTTCTGTTGCAGTGACAAGCAAAAACGTAATTCGGGGTGGAAAGAAGACGGATGTCTTGATAAATGGTCAACGGGTAGGAATAAGGCTCCACAGCCAGCATCTGCCCGACCCATTTGAAGGGCGCGCCAGGTGTAATTACATGGCGACATCGGGGCATGAGGGGTGGCTCGATGTAGGTTATTATTAGCATGGCGGATTTCTGCCCGTAAGTTGTAACAGCACTCTTACACCCGAGCACCGTACGTGTACGTGCCTCTGCTGTTATTGAAAGCAATCTGTAGAATGTGTAGGACGAACCGTCCGCTAATACCTACATTTTGCTTTTTGTGAGGCGACAACACTAGTAGCAGGATTGAGCTGGAAGCCAGTACGCGTTGAACTTGTGCAAGTTCCGTCTCAAACATGCCCGGTTGTAATTTATACCCGTACGGGTAGCATCAAACGTAAAGCGGCAATTCGTAAATCTTATCCTAAAATTGCAGATTCAGGCAACTTGGTAACGAAAACCTGATGAAGACCATCGCTACACTTCCAAACATGTCACATGTGACGCAAGTATAATGGTACCCGGTTGTTATTATATTAAATAAAGCGCCTTCTCCATCATTTGCCAACTTGGCACGCATTCCACTGTTCGTAATAATCTATTTCCTCCATTAACATGCAATAGTCTATCCACGGAGTCGCTTCATTTCAGGGTCGTAGAGTGGTTCTGCTGTCACTGTCGCCGGAATTCTTGTTCCAAAATACTCAAGTTCAACGGCATCCCCTTCCTGTATAGTGGTGGGCAAATAAGCATATGCAATGGGCTTGCCAATAGTAAAGCCAAAGGCGGCACTCGTAACATAGCCTTGTGATTTGCCGCCAAAAAAAACTGGCTCTTTGCCTAATACCATGGACTTTCCGTCGTCAACGGTAATACAGCGCAGTTTTCTGGGGATTGTATCCTCTGATATTCCCTTGAGAGAGGACTGGCCGATGAATGCTCCCTTTTTGTCCATCTTGACGGCAAAATCGACGCCAGCTTCGTAGGGATTGTGCTCGGTGGTCATGTCAGTACCCCATGACCGAAATCCCTTTTCCAGGCGCAGGGAATTGAAGGCGCTCCGGCCGGCTGCGATGATTCCGTAGGACTGACCGGCTTTCCAGAGAGCATCCCAAAGCCGGAGACCGTTCTCTGCACTTGCATACAACTCCCATCCTAGCTCGCCGACATAAGACAGCCGCATTGCCGTGACTGGTATTCCAGCAATGCTTGCCTTCTTGACGCGGAAGTAACGGAGCCCCTTGTCCGAGAAGTCATCCGACGTGACTTGAGAAACCACCTCTCTGGCCTTGGGGCCCCAAAGTCCGATGCAGCATGTGCCGCCAGTAATGTCACGAACGTGGACTGCTCTTTCCGGCGCGTTCTTGGTCTGAATACGAGCCTCCCTGGAAAGATAGGCCAGGTCGACTGGTCCATTGACACCAACCTGAAATAGGTCGTCGCGAACTCTAGCGACCGTGATGTCGCTGCGAACACCACCTTGTTCATCTAGCAATAACGTGTACGTCACCGCCCCTGGTTTCCTGGAGACGTTTCCGGTTGTTGCCCAGTCTAACAACCCAACTGCTCCTGGGCCGGATACTTCTAGACGCCTAAGAGGAGTCATGTCGTACATGGCAACAGATGTGCGAGTTTTCCACGCTTCTGCCGCTGCAATGGGGGAATAGTACCGGCTGGACCAAGCATCTCGTTCAACTGGTTGCCACTCCGCAGGCAGCTCTTTGAGCAACGCCGCATTTGTCTCAAACCAATAAGGTCGCTCCCATGCTCCCGCCTCCAAGAAAAAGGCACCAAGCTCCTTGTGGCGATGATAAAACGGACTAACCCTTATATTGCGAGGCGAATCCCGTGGTTGGAGAGGATGTAGGATATCATACACCTCAACAAAGTTCTGCTGGGAGGTCTCGCTGACATATTGCGGAGTGAGTTGGACCTCCTCAAATCGCGTTATGTCGCATTCGGCCAAATCAATCTGTGACTTGCCCGTCGTGAGAACTTCAGCCAAGGCACGAGCTACACCGGCAGAATGCGTGACCCAGACCGCCTCGGCCACGTAAAACCCGTCTACTGTAGGTGACTGTCCCACAAGGGGTCCCCCGTCGGGAGTGAATGAGAAGATACCGTTGAATCCATCCGCTATCTCGGTTTGTTGAAGCGCCGGGAGCAACTCCTGCGACAATTTCCATGCCTGATCAAAGTCTTGGCGAGTAAAATCGAGACGAGAGGGCATTTTATGTTCATGAACATCCTCTGGAGTCGGGCCTAGGGTCGAGGCCACCACAGGCATTGGACGATGGCCATAATAACCAATTCCATACTGATCGCCATGCTCTCTATAGTATAGATCTTGGTCCTGATATCGCAGGATTGGTAGACCCGCGCCATTCGGTGACGAATACCGACCATGCTGGCATGGAACCGCAGTCGTCTTGACATACTGGTGAGCCATTGGCAACAGGGGTACCGGCAATCCGACCATGGCACCGACTTCGACTCCCCAAAATCCGGCGCATGAAACAACTATATCTGCAGGAATAGTTGCGTCTTTTGTTACAACTCCTGACACACGGCCTTCTGTTTGCTCAATGCCAGTAACCAGGGTAGAGCCGATGTACTGGACTCCATGCTCGCGGGTTTTCGCGATAAGAAGCTGCACTGCACGAGCAGCCAGGGCCAATCCGTCACTGGGTATGTGAAGGCCGCCGAGAACCATGTCCTTGTTGAGAAGCGGATATCGTTCAAGACACTCTTCGGGCGTAACAAGACTTGCCTCAACGCCCCAGGATGAGGCATAGCCGTGCTTTCGCTTCAGCTCCTCGAGTCGGTCAGGCGTGGTAGCCAGTTCAAGGCCACCAACTTGGTTGAAGCATGACTGGCCATCCTCTTGTAGCGAAAGGAACTTTTCTACCGTGTATTTGGCGAATAGTGTCATTGTCTTGGATGCGTTGGTCTGAAACACTAAACCCGGGGCGTGCGATGTCGAGCCACCGGGCATGTTCAACGGCCCCTGATCGACGACTGTAATGTCGCTCCAACCGCGCGAGACCAGCTCGTCGGCCAGATTGACCCCGACTATACCAGCCCCAATAATGACAACTCGCGGCTGATTTACAGTGACAGCCATGATTGAACTGGTAACGATTCAAACTTGTCGTGAAATAAATCCTCAAAGACTTGGAGACTTGGTCTCCACTCCCTTAACGGACTGAGAGAGAACAAACACGCAGATGGAAGTCAAGTCAGCTAGATTACAGCAATGCCTCAGTAATGGTCTCTATTGTAAATTATAAAAAAAAACCTACATATACACACCTGTAGATACTTTGTAGGCCATCGGAGTATGAGCACCGTGATGTTGTAAATGGCGATCACGTGATCGGCCTCCGAACCTGGATGCCGTGAGCTGCTCCGTGTCCCGTTGCCTCCAAGTCTCGGGGCTTTGTACTGTAAACTATTGTCGACGCCAAGCCTAGATAGAATAATGGACACACCTCATCTTACCTGGCAATACATTGCAGCCCAGCTCAGGTGTATAACACTCCGGTGTTTCTATAAAAATGCGGCAACGCCCGCTGATGTCCCAAACAGGCTTTATGTACATCATCATCATACCCGACAGCTCGATTTTTATGGGTACCAAGACTACAAAGTGAAGTACATGCAAATGTGTTGTTTTGAAACGGCCTCTTTTTCTCCTTTGTCGTGGGGGTTCCGTCGCATCTCGACTTTGTCGTGACGCCATGTGATTGCACTGATTGGACGGCATCAATGTCATCGAAAATCCTCGGGTCTTCCTTTTTGATCTTTCACACCCTCCTTTATCTCTGAATAACGCAAAGATGGAGCAAAGTCGTAGCTTCCTCCGTGATATCGTATCCTTCACCTGCTCACGCGGTTCAAGTAGCAAGTCATTCGGGTCTGACCGCCGCGGAGGCGTTGATCTTTGAGGGTGGCCCATCAAGTTCTAGAACTGGGCTGGCTTGGCTTTGGGATGGTCATGTGGCTTCGCGACACGCGCGCCAACCCTTACCCAGAATGAATTGTGATAAAAGGGGGCACTACAGCAGCGGTCTTCGTATCGTCGCCGCGGTTGGCCTTGGGAGGGTGCCACGGTCTGTCTGTATGCTCACTGCGCTAGATAGAAGGGAGGGTAGGGGAGCATTCAAGCCAATCTGTATCGATTTGATTCAGCGCTGACAAGTTGGGCAGGAAAGTGGGCAAGGAACCAGCCACGGTGGACCATACCACAGCACCAGATGCCTTGTCTTGTATTAATCCCCAGCCTGATGACTGCCCTAGGTGGTGTAGGCTGCTCGCGCAGGAACAGGCAAGATGACATGTCCATGGTAAAGGGTAGCACGAGTATAGCTCGTGGTCAGTCGAGGCTGGCTGCAAAAGATGTCGGATGGTTACCATTTTGGGAGCTCACAGATATCCCACACATCACACATCATGCAAGCTCCGACGCCGGCCGAACAAGTGTTGGGACTCGGGGAGCTATTCTTCTTGGTCTCGCCATACGTACGCTTGAAGACGGGCGCGCCTGGGAGGCTGGGACGCAGCCAGGGTCCTCCGCAATACATCCTCCCACGCCCCCGTCTTCCCCAGAACAAAGATGACGGCGATAAAGGGACCAGATCGACGCTAATGAAAGCTGCAATCGCTGGTCACTAATTGGCCGAATTGGCCACCGCATGTGCGGTCTGGCACTGTGCCATCATCCTCCACAACTGAGGACCATATAGAAGGCTTCATGCTGCGACATTCACGGGCAAGGTCACATGCAGCCGCAAGCTGACGAAACTCCACGAAGACTGGGAATGTCCGGAAAAGAGAAAAGAGTAGTCATCCCTAGTGCAACATGCAATCATCACAAGCCATCAAGTTCATACACGGTAGTGTAGCATTAAAGTACTTCCATTCATCCAACTTGAAAACGCCATGAGGTATGAGACTCTGTATACTAAGAACCCGCCATTAGGGTGAAAAAATCTGCAACTATTCGCACGCTTTGAAAAACACGCTAAATTTGACTGAAAATACTGTCATTCATGTCTCCTCCCTCCCACCATGCCATGCCTCTGCCACTGCCAATGCTCGGCCGCGCGTCGTGATACACAAGGTCTGTCATGGAATCAAACTGAGAGGGATCGGCATACAACCACGGTGTAGTGTTGAACGTAAGACTGTCTGCCTGTTCGGCAGATATCTCGTTAAAGGCCGTCTCCCGCGATGAGCTCGGCGACGAGTTGACGGTTCCCTTGAACGGCAGGGTCGGCGCGTCCTGGCCGCCATCAGCCGTATTGACTGTAATTTCAGGTGACGTTGCCACAATAATGTCCAGTGTCGTGGCTTCGTCATCGTCTTCACGAGCGACGGTGAGGGCCAGTGACGAGTCTAATAGACCGGTGTGCGGGAACTCCCTCGAGTCTGCTGTGCAATTAAACTGTAAAATGTTCCACATCAAAGGCACGCTGAGGTAGATTCTGGACGGCATCCAGTCTTCCACATCGTTTGTTTCAGAGCCTGCGGCTATCCTCGTCATCTTGTCCAGGTTTCGATCCTGTTGAGCACATGTTAGCTCCGAGATGCCGTGCAATTTGTTACCGACGTACGGGATGCAGGGAATACACACCAATGCTCGGCATGCCGGCGAGAAGGGAATGAAGCCCTTGAGGAACCTCCTGCACTTGGCAAAGTCTGCGTTGGACTTGTGTTTCAACTTGGCCGCCGCTGCACAACAGTAGTACAGATGCACGGTGGCTGCAATGGCTGCGATGTGCCCGAAGAAGGGATCCGTCAGTGGCACTTGCTTGTCCAGCACCATGTCAATCATTCGCACAATCCACGTGGAATGTATGAGCGCCAGCTCCGATGACCTCCTCCAAAACGTATTCGGGATGGCCAGGTTTGCGTTGTGCTGTGCCCCCACGATGTAGAGGAATGGATGGTTGAGGACGGTCGGAATGGCATGGTATGTAAACTGTTCCTTCAACCACGTCGCCCAATAGCCGCGGTTCATCTTGAGATCTTCCATCTTGCGTTCGTAAAACTTGACAGAGTCGTACCTGTGGCACATTGGGATCCTATTCTCGGCCTCCATGAAGTCTGACAAGACGGTAGCATACATGGAATCCCGTCTCCAAGGTTCTCGAAATATTCCGTGAGCGCAGTCCGAAACATATTTCCGCACGCGACTCCAGACCCAGCCGAGGTGGACACTTGTGTTCCAGATTCCAGGCTCACTCGGGACGGTGTGGCCAAGGTCATCAATGGGCAGAGGGGGCACTTTGGCATCCTGCTCCATGGGATGGCGATGCTCAATACCGCTTGAGCCGTACGACTGGCGCCATATTTCTGTTGGCGCGCTGAGGATTCCGGTTTGACGGCCGTGATATTGGTCCAGAACCTGCAGACTCCAAAATACTCTCTTCTTGCGCTCCGATGTGAGGTCGTCCATTGTGTATCCCGCATCCATATCCAGCATCGCGGATCGGCATAGTTGGAGGGCTAGGCCAAGGTGAAATTGGCCAAGGTGCACGTTTCCATCTGGAGTACTTGCGATTAGCCATAGAGGGAGCTTGCAGCGGGAGGTGTGCTGGCCATACCTATAAATGACGAATAAGACAGAATGCACAGGCTCTCTATTGTAGGAAGACCGACGGAACCGTTGGCTATGCGGGCCATGATCATGCTTCTGGCGTTATCACCGTGGACCTGCAGTTCGTCTCGTTTCCGCGAGAAGCGAGACGTTACAGCCAGGATGCTGCAAGCAAGCTCGTCAGTAAGGGAGCTAATGTCGCTAACCTCATCCCGCTCGAAGCACCATATTGGCTGTCGATGGCAAAACTCAAAGTAGAGACGGATTCCGAGGGCAATGTCGGATGGACTCGGTCGCAAATTGGAGAGTCCAGTTTCGAGAGGGGTCGACAGTTGGTGGCTGCTGAATGAATATGCGTGCTGGTTCTCCCGAGCCGGAGGAGTAACAGAGAGGGACTTTTCAGAAAAGCTGGAGATGTCGTCGGACGGTTGCTCTTGACTCGAAGACTGGCTTGGCCTTTGGGAACCTGGTCAGAAGGTCTGAACGCTGAGAGTGATATGGATGTCGTCTGTACAACCTCCCAGTTAAGAGGAGATCCAATTTTTCCTCAAGGTGCGCCAATCTCTCCTCCTGGCGGATTTTTTGTCTCGTCAGACGTGCTAAATGGCCTTTCCGAGGAGAACAAGACATACCGATCGGCCACTTCGAGATGACTTGGCTACGGGCGGGTAAGAACACGGCTGCTTGAGGCGGACGCAGCTGGAGCAGGCGGGCTTCTCGGCGGGACACCGAGTCTTTTTCCTCCTGTGTTGTCGAACAAAGTCAGCAGAAAGACGTGTGCAAGACATGGGCGCGACAGACCGGCAAGTGAGGCAGGCATGATGTGATCGTCGTCTCCCACGAGCTGTAGTTCCAAACGTCTCTTCCGGCGGTGTCATGATGCTCACCAACCACGGCGCCCGCAAAGTGAGGTTGAGATGATACGGCAACTGCCAACAGCAAGCTCGCGGCACAAACTCTTGCAAATGGACCCAGACACACACGGTGGCTTATCGCCACGGTCTTTTATGGGTGGACCGCACTGTGATTGTGGACAGAGTCGGCGTGTCTCAGTCAGGTCAAGAGTGCGGGGGATCATGATACCGGCTCAGCAAGCCTAGAACGTTGGGCCGATAAAGGAGGCGCCACCTGCCTCCTGCACGAAATTCGTTTGCCTGCTCCGGGCCTGATGTGTTCCATGTTGTATTGTCGAGAGCGCAAAGAGAGGACACGGCACAGCACAGCAACTCGTGCAGATCTGAGCCACGGAAGGGTGGGGGTGTGTATTCTGTTTTCTACTGCGTAAGAAACACGTCTGGTAGAGCAGACTCTAGCCAGAGGCTGTATTCTCCTTCTCTGCCGGGTCCGACCCAAGGGATTTGCCGGCGCAGGCGCAGGAGCCAAGAGCCCAGGCTGACAACACGCCCTCGTGTTTATCTTAGGTAACAGCCCAGGTCATGGTGACGCATGGACTGGAGCGTGGAGGGTGGTTGTGTCCAATGCTCGGACCACAATGTCCGTTCCCGACAAGTAAACAACATGTCAGTGGCCCAGATATAGTGGCAATTTGGGCCCAACCCGAACCCATGTGCGACTCTGGTACCGGACTGACTGCTAACATGACAAATGCTGTCATTGATAGTTACCAAGAGACAAGAGACAATTCCATGCTTCACAAAATCTTGGTGTGCCTGCAAGGCGCAAGGGGATCAAGCCGCAGAATAACAATCATTTCCTCATTAGCGCTAATATTTATGTAGCAAACAAAAGACGACGTCTCGATACCAACGCGTAATAAGTCTCTCTACACCTCTACAGCGACCCGGTTGAGCTTGCAGCAGTCCACCGCCGAACAAAAACTGATGTCCTTCTCCGTCGCCACAGCACTCTTTGGCAAGGTCTGACGCGCCGGCCATATCTCCTCGCCCATGTCCGTCTCTAACTGATGGTGCTCCGTCAACTGTTGTCGCACCAGCTTCTGGAAATACAACGGGCCCTTTTCCATCTTGGGGTGCATTTCGCCGTTGATAAACACACCAGCATTGATGTTCCTCTGGGCATTGGCACAAAGAACCTTGTCCTCGGACATGATTCGCTTGTACATGTCATCAATGAGCTTGAAATCCTCATCACTGGAATTCTTGTTTCTGTAGACTTCGTACTTCATCACCGCCTTTCCTGGGCTGACAGGCACAAACCTCTGCATGAAGAAGAAGTGTGGCCTAGACCGAGCAAGTCAGCATTAAAAAAAAATATATATATTAAAACCAATAATTTCTTTTCCAGTGCGCACTTACGAGACGTTCATCGACGCATTAGGGAAAAAATATGTGCTGGCGACGTTGAGCCCGCGCGCAATTTGCTCCGGTTTCGGGTTTCCAAAGTGTTGAATATGGCAGCCCTTTGTCTCGACGTAATACGAGTTCAAATCTGCTATGGTGGGAATGTCTGGATGGGTTGTCTTGCAGTGATAACACTCATTGTAGTTATCTGCCAGGATCTTCCAGTTGTAGTCTCCCTCCATCTCCCACGTGTGGTCAAACACGTAGTCGTCGAAGTTGTAATTTTTGAATCGCGGTTGCTCATCAACCCCTTCAAAGTCCTGCTCCCATGAAACTTCGGGCACCTCATTCGCATCCATATTTACCCAGACGAATCCGTTCTTGTCGACGTGGACATGGAGAGGGAACAGGCCATTTTTGGACTTGTCAAAGTCCTCCATGTCCTGGTATCCGGGTGCCTTTGCCAGCTTCCCATTTAATCCATACGACCACCCGTGGTACTTACAGGCCAGCACGCTGTTGTGACCAGTCTCTCTGGTTACAATTGGGAATGCTCGGTGCCTGCAAACATTGTGGAAGGCGTTGATGCTGTCTTGTCGGTCTCGAGTGATGATGAACTGAAAGCCGGCCACGTCATACCGTAGCCAATCACCCTGCTTGGCAAGCCTGGACTTGTGCGTTGTAAGGAGCCACTTCTTGGAGAAGATGGCTCGCCTTTCAAGCTCGTAGAGGTCTTGCGAGGTGTACCAGCTGGCGGGCAAGGCACGAATAGGGTTTTTTCCCTCCTCGAGCTCGTCCACGGTAGGATTTCCCCCAAAGCCGAAATAGCCCTTCAAAAAGGATGGTGCCATTTCAAGTGACAGTGTTTTTGATCAAGACTTTATCAGGGTAACAAGGTTGTCATGGAAGAAAAACAAAGTCCAGTAGGAAGTGTAGTCGAATGTGACCAGCCTGCTACCAAGATCGTTTATATGGACATGTTCCTTCAAGCCCAACGACATGGGCACCTTTCTCGTCCTGATATAGTAAATCATATTGTTCCAATCGTCTGCATCATAGCCTATCGGTCATTCTGGATCGCCAGGCACAGATAAGCATGCCGACGGTCAAGATATACCGAGAGCGACCACGTGATCGGCCGTGAATACCGACGGTGTATCTGGCGTCCACGTGATCGGTCGAGAGAACATATTCCCAGCGACATCGCTTTTATTCGACTTTTCAAAAAACAACATACTAGGAGCTCATCGTGCTGTGCTGCATATTCATGTCAATTGGTGCTATGACTATGGCAGCATGCAGATTGCAGTCTCGAGGTTTATATCGGGAAACGCTGGCCGGGGTCAGTCCACTGGAGGTGTCTGTACAAAGCCCTAGAGAAATATTACGGATAGCATGACCCAGGAGCGAGGCACTCAGCGGTAGTACACTGTAAAACCTGAGTGAATACTCATTGGTCTGCCCGACTTCCGGCTGTTCCGTGGATGACTTCCTGTCAAGGGGCCGATGTGTTTTGTCTACTGGTTTTCACTTCGCACAAACATGCAAAGCCCATACCCGGCACTCCAGCTAAGATTGATTTTGTTTCCGTCCTTGGCATAGCAGGTACATCTCTTCTCTCCCGTATGGTCTGATTGCATGCTGCTGTCACGCGGGGCTGGCTTGATGGCCGCAATGGAAGGCGCCGCAGAACCGCTCGCCCAGTAAGGGCCGACAAGGGCGACTGCCACCAAAGTCTCTTTTGCTTACAACTTCTGAGATATTACATCACAAAAGACCGCCACCATTCATACTCCTACCTCAACTCCAGCCCTCTCTCATATGACGGCGCTGCTACTTTGCGACTATTGGCCATGGACCATTCGAAAGCATGAAAAGACTGGTCTGGACTCTGGAATGCTAAGCTTTTTTCGCAGACTATCTTGTCATGTGAGGGTTACATGACAGAAAGATTCTCCCGGCTAGTCTTCTTATGAGATGTATAAAGAGTCGGCGGGTAGGCCATTGACTAGTGTACTACACCTACCACATCTTCCACCACTACATATATATCTCTCTCTATATATATTCCGCCGAAAAGACTCGCCACAATGGCACACGGCACCTTGAGGGGAGTTGCAGGGTTCTGCCACTTCATGGTTTTTGCCTCGGCCGTTATTATCACGGGACTAGTATCGTGGTTTCTCAACGAATTCAGCTTCCGAGGTTCACATATTGTGTACCAAGAGGTCATTGTATGTATTGAATTTTGCTTGCAACACGCCTCTCGACTCACTATTGTAATACAGGCTGTTATCACAATGCCGATATATTTGCTTGCGACGGTTGCCCCCATTTTTAGCCGCTACGAGGGCTACTTTCTCCCGGTCAACTTCATCTTCTCCTACCTCTGGATAACCTCGTTTATTTTCACTGCTGTCGATTGGACCGGACATCTTTGTCGACAGGGCCCGTTGGGTGCAAACCGATGTTCGAGGAAGAGAGCCGTGGAGGCATTCAGCTTCATTGCCTTGTAAGCCGGGGAACCCACAACTTTCCGTCTTACAGTCAGATCAGAGCTAACAGTATTCAACAGCTTCTTTCTTATTTGCAATATCATAGTCGAGGCGTTTTTATTCGGAGCTTTTCGCAACGACCGCCGCGAAAGCAACGTTGTCACGAAGGAAAGACCGAGCACCGCCGGGACCAGAAATTCCGCAGCCAGTGCGACACCTGCTGCACCTGGTCAGAATGGAGCTGCACCGGCTACTCAAGTTTAGGCTTCTTTACGTGTAGTAGTACTGAATCGAGATTGACACCTTGAGATGGAAATAAGTGTTGACGTGGTTGAAAAACTACTCTAATATCTAATACTTCTTATTGCACTAATATAATACCACAATGTTCAAGAGCACGCTGTAGTGTTTAAGGGGGATTCTGAGCCCACGTTCTTAATTTCTCAAGTCTTCATGTGATAATCCCATGGCAGTGAAGCGTGTATTGCGGCGTTTACTGGAAGAAGCTTCATTATAATCCGGGATTGGACGATCGGCTTGAGCTAGGAGGGGAGTCCGAGGTCAGAAGATAGTGTAAATGGAGGTCAGAAAATGATGGCCGTATTTTATCGTCGAAATTTTTTTAACCCGAATCACGCATTCAACGCATCAAGCTATCTATCATACATCTCTCAACAATTTGCAATAGATGTTCAAAGTCTGCTTGAAATTGGAATAGCGCGCTCACAATAATCTAGACTCTCACTTCAAAGGCGGAGGAAAATGCGACTAATTGATACAATGTAAATAGACGCACATCAACAAGCCCTCTAGGGTCCAAGAACTACCACTCGTATCACCATTATTGTCGCAATTCGTTCTACTTGCCTCCTCGTTACATAAGCCTTCCCCGGGTCACGTCTAACTAAATTAGTCCCTGTTTCTTCTCCATGGGTTAGACAACATCTAAGCTCGTGTCTTCGATTAGCAAATATTCATTCAACATCCTGTTCGCCAGTAAGCGCCCATAGGTTGCCTTCTCCTGCCCATGTCCTGCTCCGTCTGGAATACTTGCAATTTTGAATCGTCGCCTCCCTGGAAACTGGCTGTTGTGGTTCTCTGGCTTGGGTACGGCCAGGCATATATGTTATTCTCACTGGGCCTTGCCTCATGCAGTGCTTGGACAACTATTTGAAAGATCAAAAAAATGTAAAACTCAATAATACAGTCAAGTGTTAGTTTACGGTCATTTAGTATTTACTTTACATTTATAAAGTTGTCTGTATCCATCGTAAGTTTAGCTACTTACGCTAGCCAATACATACTGTATCACGATTGAAATCTATGGATAGAATTGAATGGTGGACTAGTCCTTGATTGAAGATATCTAGCCAGGCAGGTTAGTCCCTGTTTTCATTGATATAGTACGTCACCTAGAAGGTTATCCATTAAGGGATTTAGCCGTATTAAAAGGCATAGCGTGAGCTTTTACGGGCTTTTAGTGGCTTTATTCAGCTATAACGAATAACAGTAGGCTTTCCCCGTTGAAAACCAGTGTACGGCCTTTTGAACTGGAATTTTGGAATCACCTTACGTGTATATATCATATAATAGATGCGCTTTTATACTTGAGTAATTTTGATAGGTACGTTTGCCGCGGCTTATTCTATTTATCTTAGAAATATGTAACAGCACTATATTTTACTTCAGTCAGACTACTCGGGTCCAGGAATGAAAGTCTAGTTAGAGAACTTAAAAGTCAACCTCGTGGTTTGTGAATGGGAAGAACTGTTAAACTAACTGAGACTTGGAATAATAAGGGCACGATATCAACTAAGAAACAGGTTAAGTAGAGAAAGAACTTGTCTAAGAAATAGTAAAGTTAGTAACTAGGCTCGGGCTAAAATACTCTGTGTCTGAATGAACATGGGCTTGATTATTCTAGGCGAGAACAGAAACCAGGATAGATTGAGCCGGGTCTATAACCGGTCTTATACTCTTTCTCAGCTGCGGCAAATGGCGACGATATCAATAGCCGTCTCTATTATCTTATTATTATGAGGTGACTAGAAGCTCATAAGGTTGACCACTGGACTATTCTAGATATTATTCATGGGGAAAATGAGTATTCTTTTGTTGTTGCCTGAATAGCTTCTGATTTGGCCGAGGTCCATAGCCACCGGAGTAGCCCGTGACAACGTCTGGTGGACCAAGGTCTAGTATCGCGCGGGGTAATAAGCATTCTCTGCTATTCAGCGGGACGCGTATATCATATTGCCCGATGGACGGTTCATTTCTTTGATTGGCTAGTGCTCTCTTTTTTATGTGCAGCCGATATTAACCCACGGTGACATCTGGAGATGCACAGCTCGAATGATGCGCTTCATGCTTTGCAGGCGGATCAAGAACCTCCACCTGTGGAGAGACAGAGTCCCTGCGCCTTGAAGCCAATTAATAACTATTCGCAACAATATCCCAGCACGGAAGAGCAGACTGCCCGTTAGCCATACCAAGAAAACTCGTCACAACATCCTGGGAAGGTCGTCTGAACGTGGATCTCTATACCGTATACTCAAGTGACAGCAATCGTAGCGAATGCAAAATGGTCAAGGAGAGAGTCTGGCCCAATGTCCTACATCTGCAGGTACTTCTCGCTACCCTGCCGGGTTCTCCTGCCAAGTCTTAATATGTAGGATGGCCTAGTAGGGAGCATCAGAATTTGTACAAACATGGCCCGGCCAAAGACCACTTTTATGCGTATATCTTATGACCAACTTCAACGGGGCAGTGCAATCCCGCCTTTCTATTCCGGAAATCGCCCACTAGTACGGACTCCCGAAGGAGCAGCGACCAAGTGTCTTGGCTCCTCTTACCTTGTTCCTCGGCAAAACACTACTATTCCTAGGTCCGTTGCATTTTCTATTCCTACTCTCGGATCACTGCTACTCCGGTTCATTCGTCCGGATCCGCAATCTCAACTGGCAAGGTGCAAGTGGAGTGTCGTTTACCCCCCTGAACTGTGAAAGCACCCTGTGGGAACCTTGAAATATACACTGGCCCCCCTAGTCTTCTATACGAAAACCGCAGCAGCTACCAAATTGTGTCTACATCACGCGTCTTCATACGGCCCACTCGCTATTCGGCTGTATGGGCTGAGCTCGAAATGGCTTGCTTCTTGGCCACGGCATCTAACCCAACATTGATGGTGTACAAGGTAACCTTAACTAGGTCTTTGGCGGTGGACCTCAGGAGGTTGTGCAATGAGATGGCCTTGTAAGGCGAGGCACAGCAATTCCTTTGGTCTATGCTGCGAGTCAGGATTGCTTGGCATTCAGGATCCGAAAAACTGCAACTGAGCCACAACATCATTACAAGACATATAGGATTCGTATCAAGTCAGCACATTATTATGTAAAGGTAACAAGGCGGCAGATATCAGTCATGTGTTGACCTGCTTGAGGGGGGCTCCATGTGAAGCGCCAATGGACAGGCCTCGAGGCATCGCTTGGTCTAGCGGACATAACCAGATGATTTGATAGAAGTGTTTAAATATGTATGACAACCAGCTTGGGAAGAGTTGTCTCTCCAGTTGTCTCCATAATAAAGACGATACCGTTGCAGATTTACGCCTTTCAATTGGTGGCTCGCCCTCTGACAGGTATCGCTCTATGCATCACTATTCGCCATGCACGCAATTACTCTGCTCATCTCTTTTTCGCTCATATGGCTGGCCTCTGCGAGACCATTTCTACCTGATAGAATAGAAGCCGCCGCAACCGCAGTGCACTGTGATGCGAAGGATCCCTGCAGTGGCGTCCCTAGCCGCCATACAGCAAACCCGTACATTTGCGGCGATAATCGCCTCGGTCCTAAAGAGCTTCAGAACAAGGAGATCCTTAAAAATAATGTCTTAGGTCCTATGCTCACCAAATATAACCCCTTTCCCGGAAGCTGCCCTGGCGTCTTTCTGGGGATTTGGGGTACGGACAATGGGTTGAGATATCCTCAAAAGAATGGATTCCAGCTCGACTCAAATGGAGAACCTATCATCAAAAACATAACTCTCGCTCCAGGAACCGTCATTGACCGTTTCGGGACTGATAGGGGGTATTTTGTAGCCCCATACGGCACCCCATACGAGCAGCGATCACTCCCACCAATGAATTTGGCAACAAACCCAAAGTATTCAGAGTAAGCATCTTCTGGCATAGCTTTGCTGTAAATCCCAGTACATCTTTTAACTCTGACTAGTGGAACCCCGTACAACTTCCATGTCTATGAAGTGATCAAAGATCTTCCTGTACGGGCCGGGCCTATCGCACCTTGGTTCGGGCAGCCCGGTAATGGAACCCAGTACGTGTTGAATATGAGGGTTCAGGAAGCTATCAAGGATGGTTTTCTGATTGAAACCTGCAACCCGGGCATTTATGGATGCGGAACTGCTCCTGATACCAACATTCCGACTCGGATTGTCTGTAACAAGAGCGGCAGATGGGAGGTAAGTTGTTTGCAGCGTTCCGTTTAGGTTTTGAGCTAACCAAAAACTGTCGTTTAGACTGCTGGAGAGTGTGGCAACAACCAATTTTGCAGGCTCTACCCCACGAATCAAATGCCATCCTGCCAGCCTAAGAGTGTCATGGCCAAGTGGACTTCACCTCGAGGTTTTCAACTATCAAGGCGGGAATAGACCCAAAGTGGTGAATTTTGTGTACAAATATTGCGGCAGGGGGTAATGACAAGAAAATGCTGCACTGCCTGTTGCGCCAGGGCAATGTTGTAAGATGTATACTTGGTTCCATACGTAAATTATGGAGTAACACATTATAATGTACATAGACTAAACTATTAGCATATATAAAGTATACCAATATGCATATATCCTTGAAGTACAATTTATCCAATTGGTTGGGGTCTTGTACGTAACGCATTAATTAACTGATGGAAAATGGACTACTCACTACGGGACCTGCTAGTCTAAGCAGCGAGCTAAGCAGTATAACCAGTTAACCCTTCTTAGATACACGAGAAAAAGAAAGCAAACACCAATACATATACTGCATTCATCTTTGAAAGCCGGTTAGGCAGCATAATTTAAATAACAGAATAGACCCAACACTTGCCTATTGTGACAGGGGCGCAGTAGAGGGCTTGGAATCAACGGCTAGATTTGTCTAGCAATAGTCTTTGATATCAAAAGTTCTTAGTTTTCTCCGAGCTCTCTGCACCAAGGAACAAGACATGCGGTGAACCTCGTGCTCATGGTCTCGTCATCGTAGCCCTCGTGTAAGATCCGTGCGACACCCTAGAACAAATCCCTCAATATTATAGCTACCAAGTCACTCTTTTACTGTCTTACAAGGCTTATCCTTCCAACACCTACCTATCTCAGGATGATAGTTGCACGGCAACCCCTAGTTCTCATGAATGGCCTTGATTGGCCCCGCCTAGATAGTACTTATTTATGTATGTAGTTTATGATAATCGGTACATCTCTTAGAGCTTAGATGAACCTATTTCATGTTTTGTCTTGCTGAGAACTTGACTCGCTGTAAGTGCTCGATGCGGCGGTACATCCATCGTGGGATTGTTTGTGAAGAAGTTGCGCGGCCGCAACAGCAACGTCATAGGCTCCGCTGGCATAATGGGAAAATCCTCTGGGGACGGGAAATGCAGGACTCCAAATGTGTGCCGCAAGACAACGTCCTCGTTAAAAATAGTCTCTGACCCATCACCAATCCACTCCATCAAGCCGACATCAGTCTCGCCCGAGGTTTGAGGCACATGTCGACCAGCCGGCTAGAGTTAATCGTCCCGATCTGTGGCACGAGTGGGACGAATTAGGTGCAATGTCTTGAAACTTGTGAAAAGCGAAAAGGAGACGGTGAGGGGAACATACATTTTGTTACGTGGACTGCGTGTCGCGCAAACCCGGCTCGCTTCCATACAAGCGATCTTGTGCTGGTAGCAGGTGAGGGATCTCTCAACTCACAAGCTTGTAGCTGGGTGGCTTCTTACTGAACGGATGGATCTTTTCGGTATTGAAAACATCCCCAGATCTCACAGTGGCTCCGCTCTAGTCAGTTATAGCTTGTCCAGCAGTGTCAAGCTTGGTTCTCTTGGCATAAAATGCGCTACCGTAGGGGTTCATGGGGCTCCCAACAAGTTCGTCGGAGGGAACAGCATCGGTCATATAGACGGTATTTTGCGGTCCGTGGACATTACAATCGATTCCGAGACAGAAGAGATGCTGGTGGTTGTGTGCATTTATTTACACCTTTTGTTTTGCTAGAGTCTGTTCTGAACTCCGTCGTCTAGGATGGCGTCGGCAACCTACCCGAATACGCCTCCGTGCCCCATCCATGGGTATCTTCGCCGAGATTAATGGAATACGTGTTCAAAATCCCCGTCAGCTTAATTTCTAGCTGTGTTGTGCCATCTTGCTAGGAGATTGTTAGTCCGTAAGCCCACAATGATCCAGTAGAACATACATGAAAGATCCGCTATACACAGGCATGTTAGCTTGTATCTCTTTTAGCGCTGTCATTTGCCATCCATACTTTGATACCATATTCGTAATTGGCAGCCGTGAAGATTTGCTGTATAACGAGCCTGCACGCTCTCGTGACTATCCCTGACTCGTCCCTAAAGTCGGTATGCTCAAATCGCAGCTCCTCATCCGTTTCATGAAGACAGCGGGCATTCTATGCGTCTGATGGCACCGTCCCTCGTGGGAAACTCTGCATCTAGATAGCGAATACAACCCTTACAGTCACAACCCAACTTGGGGCTGTTGGTCATATATCCAGCGCCATATTCATCCAGGTCAAAGGCATGCTTTCTCTGATGCGGCCGTTCCGGATTGCCACTAAATATTGTCAGGTGATAAGAGTTCGTTGATTGTTATTAGGCCAGCTTACTAGGGTACAATCATCTCGACCAGCGACATGCGACAGAATATTGGCCGAATCGTGCCACCGTCGTTATATCGGATGTCGTTGAGCACAATACCCTCTCTATAGTTGAAACCAATATGAAGCTCCCAATTCTGCCATTCTATCTCTCGGCCGTTCAACTTGAAGGACGGGCCTTGTGTTTGAGTGATTTCAAGGGGTTTCAGGTCTTTGCGGTAACCCCCTTTGGTTTCAATATCTGCTGGATAATAGTTTAAGGTGGCCTCCCTCACCAACGGGCGCCGTGTCCGTGGGATGTGAATGTGAATAATTTAATCCTTTTCGCTATTGTAAATTTGGGGAAAAGTCCAGAGGATACTGGTACTGGCAGTCGTCGATGTGCGGCCTAAAATAAATCAGAGATTGCTGAAGGCGCACATTGCTCCCAAAGCGTCCATCATAGCCAATGGTCTAGGGATCGCAGCACACCTTGTGCATCTCTTCCCTCGAAATACCACTTATGTCGCATTGCTTAATCACATTGGGATCGGAGCGGATTACCTGCTCAACTTTCTGCAGTTCCTCCACAGTAATCCAAGGGCGCGTGAGTTACTCGCCAACGCACACGTTCAAATGTGACTTACAATGAGTGGTTGGCCATTTATTCATTCCATTAAAAATCCATTTCTATCCAAGATCGACAAGGCCGTCTCCAACTTTGCCTCCCGGAGTAATGACGGATATATCTACTATGCGCGGGGGCTTTGTTGCATCTGACCGATCGGTCAACCACTTTAATATGATCGCCTTCCGAGGCTCATGCATCGACACAGTCGTCGTCGTCGTCGACACTATCTGCGACTTGCCGTTTTGGTGAGTTGCTCTTACAATGGCGACGGAAGTCTCAATCTCTGCTGCCGAGAGAGGATCTAAGGGGTGATAAGCAGTTGCCATGGTGCAATGATTCGAAAAACCGTAGGCAGTACGCAAAGGTTGATGATGGTACATATGTAGGGTCACCCGTCATCACGAGCGACTGCTACAGCGATTGAATGTCTAAACTGGGTGCTACACGTGGGCCAATAAAGGCTTTTTCCCATCCCCTCCGATGTCGTATCAAATGGCAGTCGATTCCGTTGCCTCCGAGCATATCCTTTCTTGTTTGGGGAATTTTGCTCGGGGAGCATCAGCTACAGTAAGAGGCGAAAAGTATTTGACCAGGTTAGGTACCTATCTATCGCGCTCCATATTATAATACACCACAGTATATTAGTGTATACTTCTTGATTAGCAAATGTATTCGGCCACAACCTGTGATAACGCATGATAAGAGTTTATTAATGCTGGTAGTTTATGTTCAACGCAGTTGTATTCACCCGTATTACTTGTCCCCACGCGACTACTCGCCTGCTCCAACAGGTGTCCCCGGCATGGCCCGCGGGGTTGGTGTCCTCGAAGTTGTTAACGGCGTTCTCGACGTTGCTCGCTCGGTTGGTGCCTCCGGCGTTGGCCCTGTCCGAGGCCACGATTGCGGCCACAGCGGCCGGCAGGCGAGGACACTTCGCCATGTTGTGGCCGTCTTGGCCGGACTGGAGATGGATGGTTAGCAATCATCGGTGAACGATGTATAAATAACTTACCAACAGGCAACATTTGAATCTTGTCCTTCTTGATCTTGCCGCCACCGGGCACCACGATTGCGGCCTCGGCCAGCACTTGGCCGATCGCGGCAAGTTTTACGGCATTGCCTAATTTCGGTAAGCAAAGAGCGGCGTACCGTGGTTGTTGTTGTTGGTGGTGGTGTTGCTGTTGCTGATGATGTTGCTGTTGCTGATGCTGTTGCTGATGGTGGCGGTGGTGGTGGTAGTATGAGATGATGCTGATGGTGCTCTGCTGTTATTGTTGATGATGATGATGATGACGACGACAATGACGATGACGGTGGCGATAATGATGATAATGATGGCGGTGGTGGTTGTTGACAAGGGGGGGGGGGAATAAAGAAGAAAAAATTAACGAAAGAAAACATTAATAACAAATTGGCGTGAAACTTGTCGCCAGCTGGCGTGAAACTGCCAGATATCAGAGGCGAGGAATGGGAAAGAGTCCACTGGTGGCTCTTTTCTTACGGGGTGCCAGTCTTCGTCAAGCTTCATGCCATCAATTGATCCGCCTGCGACAGCAGTGCCTCTCTGCGCGACATGAAAAGAAAGAGTCACTGTACTGATAATACAAGATTGAATTGATTAGAGCTATCGCATTCAAGGCCTGTGTGAAGATGAGGGCGGTGGTGGTTGGTGGCAAGGGGGGGGGGGAATAAAGAAGAAAAAATTAACGAAAGAAAACATTAATAACAAATTGGCGTGAAACTTGTCGCCAGCTGGCGTGAAACTGCCAGATATCAGAGGCGAGGAATGGGAAAGAGTCCACTGGTGGCTCTTTTCTTACGGGGTGCCAGTCTTCGTCAAGCTTCATGCCATCAATTGATCCGCCTGCGACAGCAGTGCCTCTCTGCGCGACATGAAAAGAAAGAGTCACTGTACTGATAATACAAGATTGAATTGATTAGAGCTATCGCATTCAAGGCCTGTGTGAATGCAAGTTGCGTTCCTTCCCCTTTGGCACTCTCCTCCAAGTCCAGTCCTGCCGCGATGCTATGTCGCCAAGTCGCACTCCCAGCCAGTCTTGCATGCCAAGATGAAATTTCATTTGCGTGCAAAAACTTTTAGTCCTTTCCGCTGGTAGTCTTGCACACCAGTTCCCTTTGTCCAGTGACTGTCTAGACGTTGTCACTCTTGGCCACCCAGCGTTGTATACGTCCTGTCAGTTCTGCTCTTCAATGTACCCAATCTCCCAACATGAAAAGCCTTGCAACCCGATGCCTTCTGTCTCCCCTTGGTCAATTCTCCGCTTGAATCACTCTACTATAAGAAGTGTCTTAGTTTTTCACCTTAAAGCCCTCCTCTATTCTCTGCCCAGGAGTTCTACTTTTCAGCTGCCACTTGCCGACGGGATGGTTGTACCTTCGTGGACTGGCCTGATAATCGTTCAAAACCAATGAAATCTTATCATCTGACATATCTTGCGGCAATCTAGATTGACCGCATTAAAACCGAGGCGTCGCAAGCCAGCAAATTTGAACGCGGCAGACTCACTTGCCTTCGTTGGGGCTTTGGCTAGAACGTCTTCGTTTTGCGGCCAACAAGGCAGGTCAAGCATCTGGGTATATCAAATTAAGCTCGTCGGTGACTTGCAGCTCTTGGTGGCTTGCATATATATAGCTCCCATTCGTGATACCTGTCAATCGAACATGACCATTCCCAACTTTGGCCCTCAAGGCATTGTACTTTTAAAAGCTAGTCAAAGCCCATGTTCCGCTACTGCTTTCATCCTACCATATCATTAAGCACCGTTATTCCGCAGTCCGGCCTACGTCTCAAATACATATCCGAGTATCATGTTCCTGCTCTCGCTGGCTCATAATTTAGCTCCTTCCCGCCCCGTTGTTAATCAAGATATTAACAGTACCTTGGGGATCCCGTTTAACAAATTATTCAAGTCCTTTGAGACAACGAACTCGCAGAGACCGGCAACGTTGCCTCCCAGCCCAAGGAAGCAGGCACCGATACCAGTAACCTGAAGAAATGCCATAGAAGTGCCGGAGATAGTATTCGTCAGGCATCCGATCCAGGTAGACAAGATATCAGAGCCGCGGGCAAGGACCTTGATAAGACTGACAATATTAGAATAGCTAGCCAAGGCATCTTTTTTGGTTGTGGCGCCGACAGTGCAGTCAGTTGAAGCAAATGCAGGCGAGTAGTTGGCGGCATCATCTCTACTATTCCCAGCAGCAACGGCAAGAAAGAGGCCAGCCTTGGTAATACCAGCGGTGGCTTCATTGATGGCATCAGACTTTGGGCCGCCAAGAGACATATTAACGACGGTGCCGTTAGGGCAGGACTGGTTCTGAGACTCTTTGGCGACATGGTCCATACCAGCAATAACACCAGAACTAATGGCCGTCATCAGCCATGTAGAGCTACCAAGGTCCGCAAAATCAATATGGGTAGATATACGTTTCTCCAGAACCGCTGGCATCCAGCGCCTTGACACCATAGATATTGGTCTTCTTAGCAACGCCGTCAACTGGTAGGTTAGGGAGCCAATAGTGCCCGAGACGTGGGTGCCGCAGCCGTGGCCGTCGCTATCATCGCCATCATCGGCAAAGTTGTTGAGGAACTTGGCGCGGCCCTCAAGCTCCTATACTGCACTTAGTTATCAATTTCTACTGTGCGCATTCAAGTTTAGTATTGCTTATGACTGCTTACGGGGTGATCAGCCTCGATACCGGTGTCAATGACAAAGGCACAAGTGCCAGCGCCAGCGCTGTCGTAGTAGGTGGAAATGGTGCTGCCGGGCCGCTTGTTGGAAGGACGAGAAAGACCCCAACCAGCACCCTCTTGGGTGCCAGAGATGTTTACGACGGCATCCTGCTCTATAAAGTCGACCTGTTTCGCAGTAGGTACTAGCATTAGCAAGACCCTGATGCTGTAGCTTGTTAAAGTCTTCCACTCACGTTAGGGTTGCTTCGGACTTGTTCCAACTTCTGGGGACTAAGAGAAGCAGAGAATCCATCAAATGCATGAGTATAGGTATAACCAGCACCAGCATTCACTTGAGAAATTGCCGAAGAGATCAATGAGCTGGTAGAGTCTCCTTTCATTTCGCCATTTCTTTGCCCTCAACGAGCTGGGCGTTACGGGGGACAATGACGGGAGCTGGAGAGGCGCGCTTGGCTGAGCGTCAATAGCCAGGGGGATAAGAGCGAGAAGAGTTCAAATCTTCATCTAGCTCAGGGGACTTTTGGTAAGTGTTCTGAAAAGCGTAGTCAGATATTTGTAGGCTGCTGGAAAATGCCAGGAAAGGAAAATGTGTATATATATTCCAGATATGAAAGAAATGTATGAATAAGGATAGGCTGAGGGTGCAGCTTCTTTTTTTATTTCCTTTCCACTCATGAATAAAATAAGAGACCATCTTGTCCATCTATTTCTTTTGGCTCATGCAAGTCCTGGCAGCAGGTTATCATCACACATTGCCCTGCTACCCAGTATTACACGCCGCCGAGGCCATTCATATTCTTGCATTTATTATTATCTAGTCTTCTCGTCTACGTGAAGCGTCAAGCTATTGCCAAGTCGCCGGCAGGCAGGCTCGCGGGTTAGAAGTGCATTTAGGTCATCGCATGTGAGTGCCAAACGCCAGCTTGTGTCCTCCCCAAACCAGATGAGCGTACATCTTCTCCATCACCTGAAGTATTACTGTACTGTTCGTTGGTCACAGCCCTGTGTCATAATTGCAATCTGGGGCTCGTGATAAGCTTTGCCTACCCATTCAAGATTAGACCCGGGAACTTTTGGCGGACAACCACTAGCCGACTAAAGCGACGCCGCAACAGACCCAAGTACGGGCGTACGAGCTAATCGTATAAGGGAGCTTTAGGGAAGTACATTTGGAATAATATTTGGTGATCTTGGAAATGTGTACTGCGCCAACACATGTTTATTAGTTGCTACAATCGAGCATCAATGGGGATATACAGTGGGACGCAAAAAGTATTCAACCAGATCAGGCACCTGGCTATAGGACTCTATACGATAATATGTAACAGTATATTAGCGTATACATTTAGGTGAATTAATATATTCTGCCACAGAGTGTATGTAAGATTGTGAAATCTGCCTATCCCTAAGCGCTCGTCTAGTAAAGCTACTTGTTTATTCGAATAGGTAGCTCAAATGAGGAGACAAATGGTTATGGAAATGGTGCCAGTTATGCACAGAAGCAATCATCAAGTTTCCGGACTTTTTATATACGGCAGCTCATTTCCCTCTGAACAGCTCAATCGAGAACAGCGACCACTGTCAATTGTCTGATGTCTGGCTATTTTATGACTTTTAATAATACTGCAGAATGGTAGCGAGAGTGGTTTCGGTGTCAATGTGGCTGTTCACTCTACGTAGTCGGATGGTGTTTGTTTGCCATATCCCCCTAGTTATCTTTAGGTTCCGGTGAAATACCTCTCGCTGCACACCCCCTGAGAGGCCCTGGAGCCCTTTGGATGATTAAATTATCAAAGATTCTAAATAGCAGGTTTTCGGTGGCAATAACCTATTAGTTTGACTCCAAGATACGTGTTCGGGGCATTAACACAGCCCAAGGGGATGCACTGGGCTACCTAGGATCTAGGGGGCTGAGGTTATTGGAGGTTTTATTAGGTCATTTCGACATATGCTATGCCTTGTGCTGGTTGTATTATTTCTGCGGCCCTTTTCTAACTCAAGCAGCTTACATTCATCCTCCATAATGCATCAAAGACCTCATCTATTTTTTTCGGCGAAGAATTCCGATCCCTTATCTCTTTTCAATGTATTTTTTTCCCTGCGAATCGTACCACAACTACAGTTACCGCAGTCGCGGGGCGTCAAGCTCGGCTTGTTGCTATGAGGCAAGACTGCAGAGGGCAGGTTAGTCGTCCCAATATTGCAACATCTGGCCATGAATCTAGTTGTTATCAGTGAGTGTCATCTTGGCCATGTTATGTATCGCCACTCTACGTGAGTCTACCACATTCCTAACGTAAAAGGTCACGTAAAAAAGAGCAGCTAGTATCCAGAAATGCGCCCAACTGTATCGCTACGCAATACATCTCCATGTGGCGTGCTATTAGATTTTAGGCTTCTGCACTTGCTTCGCATTTCCTGCCCAATACTGCCTTTTATTAAAGTAGTCCCTCTATGGATAGTGCTAGGAATCCATTAGCGATTAGCGATGCATGCTAGTTACAACGTGGCAACAGCCTCGTTTATAACATGCAAAGTGCTTGCCTATTCTTGGACTATTATTGTAATACTAAAGGCTCGTTCAATTAGAGACCCCGGCTTTAGTAGTGGCCGCTAAATAATAGATTGGACAACACTTGGCACGGGCCGGCCGTTTCGATCAAATGGCAGCCTATAATAACCTAAACTTGATCATCTATCCAGTGGCATCAAGTGTTTGGGAGTTACTGACAGAATAGGGGCGCCTGTTGCGTTACTGTGGTATATTCGCTTTCTTTGGCGCTTTCTGGATTCTCATACGCATGTCTCCAGCTCAGGGTTCTCGGATATCAAATAAACCGTGGAAGAGTGTGTAAAATTAGCATCCACTTCATATATATATCTAATAGTAGATTGAAATAGTCGTGCAGGCACTACATCAAGTAAGACAATATAAAACACAATATGCCTGGTCGTACCTAAGTTAAGGGACCGTAACATACCACGTAATAAAATAATGAAAGTAATTTCTTATAATAATATATAAAATTATTAATTGTTATTTGCGTTAGTAGACGCCTCTAGTGTCTGGTGCTTTCTTGCTATCTTGTTACATTTAACTCTGGTTATTAGTTTAGTAAATATACTCTATTACAGACGCCTTTAAAAGCAACCGTTCAAGTCGCTTATACAATTTGCTAGTTATTATACTTAAGATTGGCAGCCGCAGCCCAAGTCTCTCGGGAGAATATCAGACGTCTGCCCCGGTTCTAGCAGCGATAAACTTGTGGAGGGCGACTTTCCGCTAGACCAAGTGGTAATTAAAAGTTCGTACCTAGTTTTAATATTCCTAATAAGTCGGGACCTAACATTGAAGCTATCTAGAATTCCCACAGGGCACCGTGGTACATTCTTGCAACCGCTACGGGGCATGCGAATGGACCGTCGCCGCAAAGATTAAAACTACGCTCAAGCATAACGGGCCAAAGTCCTATTTCCTCAAGGTACTTGCCATGAAGCAACCCGCTGGCTGGCCATACTAACAGCAACTAGTGCGCAGAATACCATCAGGGTCGGGCCATGTTAGATGGAGAATTCCATTCCATGAACGAGTTGCATAAAGTCGCTCCTAATTTCGTCCCGAAGCCCATTGCTTGGGGATAATTGTCTGTTCCCAGCCCGCATACGTGTTATTTTCTATGCGAATTTATTGAAACTACGAGCAAAGACCCAGACCTAGTTCAGCTCTGCTCAAAGCTCGTTACGCTGCATATGTCTAGCCGGTCTCCTACTAACATGTTTGGGTTTCACGTCAATCCACTCCGAGGCAATCTTCCACTAGAGGCGTCCTGGAATCCAAACTGGCGGAGTTTCTTCGTCCAGCTATGCCGTGGAACATTATCATTAGATCAAAGGATCAATGGAGCTTGGAAGAACCTCGGGCAGCTTGTCGAGTCAGCCATAACACAGGTTATGCCGCAAGTGTTGGGGCCTTTGGAGGCCAATGGAAGATCTGTTAAACCCTCTCTAATTCATGGAGGTAGGTGTCTTATCGAAACTATGGAAAGTATCCAGAATGTGCTGGTTGATTAACTACCTACATCTGTGGGATGGTAATATTGGAACCGACTTCAAGACCGGGGAGGTTTACATATTCGATGCCATCTCCTACTACCCGCACAACGAAATGGAAATTGCGATATGGCGGTCACTTCCGGATAGTGTTGTCGGTTCCGGGGTGTATCTGAAGACGTATCTTGCTCAAATGGGTATAAGTGAGCCTGCGGAGCAGTTTGAGGATCGTCATATGCTGTACAGCGCTTGCGCTGCTTTGCATGCGGCCGCCTGCCACGACAGGTCTAGTGCCCACGAGGAGTCAGAATGGTACAATTCAGATGGTGGAATTTCGATTCGAGCTGACATAATTAGGTGTTATGAGAAGCTGCTCAAAAAGTACCAACCACATCTCCGGAATGACGGCTGGGACGAGACCAGGCGTGGATAGGTCTCGTCTCTTCCACGTGAAATCTGGAGCGTTCTGTTTCGCATGGCGACTTATGGAATGCCGTATCAGATCTACATGTATCTTCTACATCGGAAAGACGAAATGAGCTGTGTGATAGAAGCCCAAACGTGACGAGAATCCGTCCCAAGATTAGCTTGTCATGTTTATTAAACATTTTGGAGCTAAGGCTTTGGTGTTTTATTTGTTCGTCTTCTACAGCTCGTTTGCTGAATTCCCTGCGTGTGTGGCTCTGAAATGCAAAATACATTCTCCTGTCTCTTAGGTCTACAAATTTCACTAGTAGCGGTATGGCGCGTTGGGCTATAATAGCCTCAGACCTGAAACCGCTCCTAAAAATCTAATCCATGGCTTATAACAGCCACTTAGTTAGTTCGCACGAATAAAAAGTCACCATTATGGGTGACAGCCATTAAGCGGCTTCAACAAAGACCAGTCAGTCTCCCCCCACGGCGTCACAAGAAGTTCAATTTAACATGGAGAAAGAGCTGCAAAACTACTCCAAGGAAGAGTTATGGTTATCAGTATAAGTTCTTATCTCTTTATATCGTCCGTAACGTGTGGCTGAATGTCGCAGTTTCTGGAAACCACGCTTGGTGCATAGTTGCGGAGGCTGCTATTGGTGAGGTTTTATATATAACCTAGGCCATATCCATGCGTAAACTACTAGCAATATTGAGAAATTGGTGGCACAATTCGTAGCCAATATGTCAACGGAAAAGGTGTTATAGTTGCTGTTCAATTAGAACACGTTCTTTTTGTGATAAAATATTGTTGCCTGCTGTGCTCCCAGTATAATAGAATCACACACGGCCAAAATACAGTATTACTAGATGCCCTCCATCTAGCCCGTTTTTTGTTATTTTTTTCAAATAAGTTAATAGTAGAATCACATGAATTTATAAAAGGGAGCCATAATAATCGTTCAATATTTAGCCAGATGGTACGGGTTTCACGGTAGATGTAAACTTTAATGGGTTGTACGCACAACGTTGACCAAAGCTTCTTACTCATGAAACAGGCTCGAAGGCACCAAGATGTGGTAACGCGACGTGCATTGATTGTCTTCTAACGAGACTAGCATTTTGTGAGGGAACGTGCGCAATCGTGTGTTGAGCTTTCACTGAAAGTCTGCAAGGCACGGGTTCCAAGACTCGGAACCCGTTGAATGATGCAGCCTTCCGGAGAGTTAAATCCCATGACCAATGGATTGTGACAAAGAAAAGTGAATAACAGTCCGAAGTCAATTGCTATGCAAGACTTTTCTTCGGTACACATAAGCATAATAAAGTTTATAAAAGAGCGCAACGTGATGTTCACTATTTCATTACATCTAGGCCGTAATAAGCTCTGGAACCTTCTTTGCCCAGTTCTCGACTGCTCTGCAAGATCTCTTGACTTCCGAAAGCTCAGTTGCCCATGAAGTCACTAGTCGGACGACCAGGGACCCATCGTCGAGATGTTCCCAGATGAAGAATTCAAAATTTTGATGCAACTCCCGAACCAATGCCGAGGGGAAAATGACAAAAACTTGATTGGGCTCTGTCGACGCCCATAATTTAAACCCCATATCCACCAGAAGCGTAGACTTGACGTTTGCCCACTCGGGTCCGGTTGGTCCAAGTATGGTGTTTTCTCCACGGCACAGGAGCAAAGTCGATGGAGCCTTCTTGCTGAGAGATGAAAGACCTTCGTATCTGCATCGTACACAGAATGGGGCAAAACAATTCCCTATACTGCTTCGGGCGAAGTCAGGTACCGGGGTATGGCCATCACGTCAGACTGCGGGTGAAATTCAAAGATTGCCCGAGTCAATACGAACTGTTGGCCGGGTCATTTTCTTCCTAGTGCGGTAGGCGTTGGTGTTCGCCTGGGGCTGAAGGATACTAGTGGTGACAACTCAAACGTCAAACCTGTCACACTTGCTGGGCTGGGCGATTTTATCTTTGGGCAGAGGTTAGACTATCTCGTGATGGGTTTCTCCACGAATCCATCCTCGACGTGATTCAATCAGGAGCAAGTGGCGCATTGGCAGCACCTGAAGAGCAAATAATGTCGGCTGCTACCCTTCGTAGTAAAAGCCGTGTTAGCACGAAGTGGGATGAAGCCCAACAGGCCCCTGCATCTCGGGGAAGACGACTCGAATGCATCGGAGGACCCTTTCAGTTGGAGGGAGCTATGCCAGTCTGTCTCTCACGCCATAGCGCGATTCAGGCAAACGAGAGCGCATGGGGTTTCAAACGTCGTGGCGTCTCGTATGAATTATGCACTTGGAACTTATCCGCAATGACAATTTCGAGACGACACGGACAAGCCTATGGCTGATCAGTCGCTGCCCCGATTTTCATGTGAGCCTCCGCCGTTCATGCAGACCCAATGCTTTGAATCATACACACCGCCATTCAAGTTCAACTTCATACAGCCACACAAGGCTGCACGGCTGCTGCAGGAACTCTTCCCGCGAGGCGCTACAGATGCAGTCGTTTTTAATTGATTCAGTACAAGCCCGCCCTGCTAAAAAGCACCGGCTTATTTCGCGGTACGTAGTGAGAGCACAAGGCACAGTAACTACCGCCCGGTACGCAATTAACCGAGTAGGTTATTCACTAAATTATGTAGCTTTTAGTGCTAGCTATTTCCACGTAAACTTCAAGTACCCGCTTTGCCGTTAATCTCCGATTGGTCTCTGGCCCCTGCCACAGCGAGTCCACCAGCCTTCGCACACCAGACGGATGTGACTCAATAAGAGAGAGCGTCTGTTAAAGTATACTTGATCTTACTATAAGGTAACATGATAATAAAAGTATTACATATATACGAGATTACTTCACGCTTATCACGTTACAGGCACACTAATAGGGTCTGGTATTTGATTGCTGAAAAGGTCTGGTATCCTCAAGGTTCTGTAGAAAAATGGGCACGATTGCAGCAAGCGCACCTCCGCACATTCAAAGGGAGAGATAAGGCACGAGTCAGTACGTCTAATGGGAGCTGCATTTTAGTGTGCCAAGAAAGCTGTGTGCATGATTATTAACCAAATTTAGCTAGATAACCGGTACCCCTACCCTCTAGTGTGTTTTACACGTAAAACCCTAGCAATAGGCTCGCCTTAGCCCTTGATAAACGCGTCAAGGAATATGTGTTTTTGGCTTTGAAATTTTGTAGCTTTTAATATAGTAGTATAAAGAGGGCTTTATTAGTCTCAACAGGTGATTTCGAGTATTGCTTTCAAATACACACGTAAAAAAAAATATACAAATAAACCTATAACGTGGTTCCCACGCGTTATCACTAAAAATAAGTGTTGAGGGTATGGTAATAAGGCTGCAGCCGTCTTACATCTGGTGGGCCCGCTAAATTACAGCTCCTCCCCTACCACATTGAAATTTGACACATGCAGCAGCCGTACTGGCATGAGTCATAGCTTCAATATGGTAGCTTGAAAAGTCTGCTGCGTTTTGGCTGTAAATCAGGTATGTAACGGTGAGATCTTATAGGGCCGTGAAATTAAAAAGTATCAATAGAGCTTGTATTTGAACTCGAATCGCAGGAGATACGTTACGCTATCTTCCATTCCTTCAACATGGAATGTGCAGTTTAAACCCTGGATGTTTAGCCAGTGTGATATAATAAGAGGTTATTATTACAGAGTATAAAAGGGGTAGAAAATACCTGACAACACGAAAAAATCTCTCATTAATATAGGTTATTATTACAGAGCTATTACTCCCTTATTATTGAACCCATATTATAGCTAATAACTATTAATATGAATAAAGAGAGCTTTTGTTAGTAGCAAAGCCCCTGTAAATACCCACTTACCTCCTTGTCAGGTCACTTATAGCTAAACTTACAGGGGTTGTATTGCATTCAAAGCTCGGCTTGGCAGCTACATGGGCTTACTTGATTCAGCCAATTCGGACCACCCTGACCATATTCATTCCTCCCACTGGTGCCAGGAGATATGTCACCGGTTTCATAAGTCTTCTGGCGGAAAAAAATGGGCTTTGAAAGTTTCTATTTAGGCATTTCACGTACTGCAAAAGCCCGACCAGACTTCCGGGCCTGTTCGCTCGCCACGTGCCAGCGTTGTATTTTTGAATAACATGAAGGCCTCGAGGTCGAGGTCTCTCCTTGTACTTTCAACAGTCTTTGTAGTCCTTGGTCTGCTGTACTTCGACTTGACGCAAAACGCCGTGGCTCTCGCACGCATCGCACTAATCAGCACCAAGACAAATCCAGCGGCTCAGCATGGATCTCTTATCCCCAAGAATATATGGCAGATCTTCCTCCGGCCTCCGAACTCCAACAACAGTTTCCAAATCGACCCTTCTAAGATTTCAGATGCCGCATCTTGGTTAGCCCGGAATCCCGACTATTCATACCACCTGGTTGGGGATCAAGGGGCGTCCCGCATTCTTCATCAACACAAATTATCAAATAAGAAGTTACGCGAAATCTACCATGGGCTGCCAAATACCGGCATGAAATCGGACCTACTTCGATATGTGATACTAGCGAATGAAGGCGGTGTATACGCCGATACTGACGTGGAGGCTATACGCCCAATCGACACTTGGATCCCGGAACAATATTCTGAGAGCGCCAAGGTGGTTGTGGGAATTGAATTTGACCGTTTGGATGGCCCCAACTGGGCTCAGGTTCATGAAGAATTGCAATTTTGCCAATGGACCATTGCAGCTGCCCCGAACAACCCCTTGCTGCTAAGAATGATAACATCCGTCGTGACAAGGCTGGAGAAACATGCAAAAGACCATGACTCGACTGTGGGAGAAGTCGAGTTTTCGGATTCGGACGTCATTAATCTGACTGGGCCTTCGGCATGGACCGACGTCGTTTTTGAACAACTTCGCATTTACCAACCGAGTCTTACGTCTGTGAGGGACCTGACTGGATTGACGGAACCAACCCTGATCGGTGACATTTTGATCTTGCCCATTGATGGATTTGGAATGGGTCAACCGCATTCGAACAGCACCAATGATGGTTCGATACCCGACGATGCGCTTGTTCAGCACAAGTTTCGCGGCTCGTGGAGAACAAGCAACGACAAGTCATAAGGGTTGCTTCGTGTGTATGGGAGAGGAATTGCATTTACGTATTTACACAAGGGAGTATATAGAAACTCCGCTTGGTTTAAAATATGTTGTACAGTCATGAGAAATGATGGAATTCAATATCTTTTGTCACAAAAGAACCTTGGTTTGATGGCGCAATAATTACTACGTATTGTGACAAGGGCTTGATATCAAGGGCTTGGAGCGTAATGACTCTATTCAGTAATAATCTTGTAGGATGTCAAAGGTCCTTGGATTCCAAGGGGAAGAAAGGGATCAGTGACCATTAAATGTACATGAAAAGAACAAGGTTTAGCCTCTGCTCTCGGCGTGCTTTGGTGAACGAAGAGAAGCCTTGACAGGATTCTTAGCCTTGAAGATCTCAGACATTTCCTCCAGAGATCTAGCCTTGGTCTCTACGGAGAAGAGGAAGCTAATGGTCGCTTGGATCAAGTCCCAGCCAATGAAGATGATGTACGTTTACCAGCCAATCCACTGCAACGCAATTGGAAAGCGAAATTGGTTGACAAACGCCAGGCAGTGAACAAAGGCAAAGACAAAGGCCAGGCCCTTGCCGCGCTGCTCGTACGACAAGCACTCGGGATACAGCGCCTGCAGGGGAGTCATGCCAAAGTTGTAACACCAGCCAAAGATGGAAATAAAGGCCACGCCAGCCGTGGCAGCGCCGCCCGATTTGGTCGCTGCGATTGCCCCGGCTCCCCCCGTGATGCCGGCAAAACAAAGGGAGCACGCAACAGAGGTTCGAATACTAGTTGGTCCTCGACCCATTCTCTCAATAAGCCCGGCTCCAATGTACAATGCTACGGCAGACACGATTGTGTATCCTAGGTTGATGTTTAGAATCTGATCCGACCTCGTCATACCCGTCGTTGTGAGAATCGCAGGCAGGTAGTAGCTGGCGATGGCGTTTCCAGAGCATTGGCCCCAAACCGAAGGGATCAGGGCGTTGACGACACGCCAGCGAGCCGAACGCGTCTTGTAGAGGTCACTATAGTCCCACCACTTCTTGTCAGAGACATGGATGTGAATGGCTTGGCGGTATTCGTCGATTTGAAGGCGGACAAGGGGATGGTTCGGGTTTCCCTCTCCGTGATACTCGGTCAGGAAGTCCACGGCTCGCCCTTCTCGCTGGTTTGCATACAGCCACCGCGGCGGCTCTGGGAAGAACATGACCAGGGCGCCACAGTGGCCGGGCAGATGATTTGGCATCAGACGGGGATTCTCCAGGCCGTATCGCCGGCATACTGGACGGATCCTCGCGTGACGCCAGCGGCCATGACGGCCCCGAAGCCGAGAAAGAAGCGGCCGGCGACAAACTGCTCCGTGTTGGTGGTCAATCCGGACAGGACGGTGCTTGCAATCACAATGACGCTGCCGATGAATATACCCATGCGACGCCCCTTGAAGTCGCACGCCGGGCCGGTCACTGGCAGAGAAAGAATCGTGCCAACTGTGTACATGGCTGAGATGTATCCCAGCTTAGGGCCAGTCTTGCCGACCTCGAATCGGTTTCTAAAGGATTCTAGGGCAGGCAACGAACCAAAGATGGAGCCGTCATAGCCTGGCATGCGAATGTCAGGATGTTTTTTTTCCACACCAAAACCAGAAGTCGCAAAAAGTGTTCACCTACCATTCATGGTGGAGCAAAGTAACGCAACTGCACAAAAGCAGTACAGCTTGAGAAGAGACTTGCTCCATGGTGAAGGCGTCCGATAGGCCATGACTTCGGCCAGGGCGTCCACGGAAGGGAGGACATCTTCATGGTCCAGCGGCTTTCGGAGCGACCTGACAAAGGTCATGAGATGCTTCGTGGCTTCTACCACGCTGCCACAAACTTTAACAGCTAGTTATATACGCTTCAGCAGCCATTGCAATGGATCAACGGTGATGCTGGCTATCCGAGCGTCTTGAAACCTCTCCTAAATAGCATCTCTCCCATCTTGAAGCTGGTTTGCCTGCCCCCACTGCACTTGTAATTGCTCCTAATAGGGAGCTCGTCTCCAAAACTTCCGACGATTTCGCCGTGAAGAAATGCAATGAGGCCGGAGAGGCTGTCGGCCGATGGCCCGGTGGCGCTCAGATCTCTGTCAAGAACCGCTTCTTAGGGAAATCTAGCTCGTTGTTTTGGTTCCGGGGCGGCGCCCGGCCTGGTTCCGGGGCTCTGCTCGACTAGGTATTACCCAAGGCGACTGGTGTGTATCACGGACAGAACGCTGGTTCTAGAGACCCGCTTGCCAACAGCGTCACGCCCTCGTGTCAAGCGCCTTCCACCGAATCGGCATTCGGAGCAGGGCCCGGGGTTCGCGCGGAGAAGCCGGGGTCGAGGGGAATCTCGCAACGACGCCGGCATATTCGCTTAACGTCTACGCAAGAAAATACCAAAACGGTCAATATAACCGGATTGGAGGAGCAGTTACATGACAGCGCCATTCGGTATCCTACAACCGAAGCGAGCTTTCACTTCAGCCCTGTCTTTTGTGTTTGTGGTGGCAGCCTCTCAAAGATAGATACGTTAGACTAATACGCGTGCTTCAAGCCTTGAATAGCAAGATGGTGCTTGCCATCCAAAATGCGGCAATGCAGCCAATCCATCCGTGTTGCAGTGCGCCTTGAAGCAGCAATATATTCATTCAGACGCAAAGCCTAGTTGTCACATTTTCTAAATATACCCGAGCTGAAGCAGTCTATTGCCATACTCAAGCAGGTAGTAGTCTCCGAACACAAGCCCATGGTTATAATACTTGTCAGTCCAATCTCTCTGGTAGTTGGCAGTTGCGCATCGAAGCATGGCATCAAAAGAGTCGAGCTCTTCCTTCAAACTCCTCGCCACAACCTTTGCAGATCCTAAACAAGAGGGCCCAGGCGTTGATGCCGCGCGTGGTCGACATGCAGACTACTACTCGGGCAGCTTTGCCATCCAGTTCAGCCAATTGTTGCATTTCGAGTTTGCCAGTGATTTGGATCCGGAGAGGCGCTCGGTGTTCAGAGAAAGGGCGAAACAGTTTGCACGTACTCTGTACATTCTGGGCATATTTTGACGAGCACGGTAAGACGAGGCGGTGCGCGATAGCAAAGACTGCAGACTAACAGGGCTCAACAGTCGCATCTATTCCCCTTGGGCAGATCTCTGTGTTGCAAATTCGCCATGGGAGGATTCTACACGGCGTTTGCCCACTGCGGGATTTGCCATGACGCTGACGAGTCTGGTTTACATCGCACGCGGCCGTCAAGAGAATGCTCCTTCGGCACCTGCGCTGGTGGGCTTCCCACTCGGAGAATATTTTCTGGTCGGATGGTACCTTGAGCACTGGCTACTTGTATCCAAACATGTGTCTCAGCAAAGACTACAATTGGCCCCAGTCGCCGTATTGGGCGCTCAAGTCATTGATTGTGGTGGCTCTGTCTGGCGGCGACGCATTTTGGTCAGCCAAAGAGCTGCCACATCCCCTGCGCCGTGGCCAAGGACTCGAGCACTCTGGGGAGAATGAAATCATGCCTGTCAAGCCAGCGAGGCAGATTGTATATAATCATGGCAGGGGGCGGCATCATTTTCTCCTGTCGTCTGGACAGTTTTGTGTCTGGCCGATGATGGCAGCCCAGGCAAAATATGCCAAGTTTGCGTATCCCTCCGCCTTTGGGTTCAGTGTGCCTACCGGGCACTGATTACGCAAATCGCGCCAGACAGCATGTTGGCGTTGAGCAAAGACAATGGGGAGACGTGGACGACACGCTGGGTATCTACGGGCGAGACCAAGTTTGTCCCGGTTCCCGTCGTCTCTATAAGCGGGAGCCGGCAACAACACATTACCGCGCTGGTCAATCGTTGGAAGCCTTGATCAACTGGGCTGGTGGAAGCCGATACGACGCTGATTCCACCTTGCTCGGGCTGGTCCGGATTGGCACGTCAAAGTGCATTGTATCTGCTCCGGCAACGATCCCTCCCTCCTCTCATTCGATGCTGTCGAGGGCGGCTTTGCCATCGATGGCAGACAAAAGGCCAACCAGCGAATCATCCAAGGGAACGCCGGCCAAACGTTGATGTCGTTGGGCCTACAGGATGGTGAGGTCGCGCTAGAGACGCCAGACTCGTGTCTCGTAATATCGTCGGCCGGAGCAAGCGGCATCGTCAACCTTGCTCCTTTGCCTCGATCATCTCTACAATCCGTTGGTGAAGCGTTCAAGCCCGACCCCAACACCAATCTAATGACAACTAGGATTCTGCTTCCAACTATCAAGCACTCTGGACCGAGTTGGCCCAAGGAAGACGTCGTAATCATAACGGCCGTCTTTGCTATCCATGATGAGAAAAACGCAATGACCCTACAAGGCTCTGCCGACGATTCGGCACACACGCCTAGGCGTAAAGTTCCTTTCCCATATATTATACATATAAAAGTGACTTTTAACTTGTAGCGATTTTTCTCATAAATATTACTTATTAATGTATATAAGATTATAATTACACACCACCTCGTCCCCTTGAGAATCCCTTATTAGCCTTATCGCATTAATAAAAGTAGGGCTCCTTCTTAAAAGAGTAGTCGCATCTTGGCGATATAATCCCTGTAGTCGGGGCATAACCATGAAAAATTGCTCACGAGGGATATCGTCATAGACGTGGTTTGCTGATAATGTCAAATATTGGAACTAAACCTTGACTAAAACTTGCTCAATGAGCTCGATAGCTCTTGTTTCTTCTCGCATGAACAAGTACGGAGTAGCGCAGGCTGTTACCCAGCGACACCAACAAAATGTACATGTGACAATGCCATGACACATCGCAGGGAACACATCAGTGTCACACGAGAAAAGGGCGTGGCCACGCCACAGTGTTTTGTGCTGTACCCCCTTGTATCCCTTGCGACAATCAGGTCATGGGGGCCGGGGCCCATGCAAAGCAACGTCTGACGGAATATTGATTCCGGACGATTAATCTTAATTGAGACTGCATGGATCAGGCGGCGGGCCGCAAATTGCCTCGTATATTACGAACATGCGGCGACGGAGGGTTGCCGGCTTTCTGCCCGAAGGTCCACTCCCCCAAATACGTTATATTTCCCCAAATTATGCCACCAGTCAGGAGTCAGGAACAAGCAAGTACCGGCATGGTGGTGTGGTGGGACGGGTGCAAATTAGCTATATTGTGGAATCATCTCGTTCAGTTTGGTGGACAAAGAGGCCGACTCGCCAGTCGTCGTCATATGGTATCTTGTCCAACGCCATATTTGCAGCCATGCAACCGACTTCCCTCAAGGCGACATCTGCCGCGGCTCTTTTGACCTTGCTCACTCTAGGGTCAGCGCAAGCCAAGCAGTACTATGTTGACTGCTCCCGACCCAGCGCGGGAGACGGAAGCCAGCACAAGCCATGGAATAGTCTGCAACAGGTCAATTCGCCGACCTTTGCTCCCGGGGATGTCATTGCCTTCAAGGCCGGCACCGCCTGCACCGGAACATTGTCACCTAAAGGGGTCGGCACGGCAGACTCGGTCATTAGCATCACCAAGTATGCTTCTGGCGGTGTCGGGGACAACCTCGACCCCATCATCAACGGAACGGGGGCAACCGCCGCGGTCACCTTGACGAACCAAGACCACTGGCGGATTTCCAACCTCACCGTGACAAATCCGGCAGCAAGCCTTGCTGCGCGTCAGGGGATTCATGTCACGGCGAGCGATGGCAAGACTCACACGGGCATCACAATCGATTACAACACCGTCCACCACGTCGCAGGACAAACGAATAAGCGCACGCACTCTGCAGACTTTATTCTGTCGTGCGGAATTCTAGTCGACACGTCAAATACCGGCAGTCGCTATGACAACGTACTAGTAAAGAATAATGACGTGTCGGACTGTGGCGGCGGCGGCATCAAGGTGCGCGTCGGGGCCATGGACAACCTCGGGCACAGGGCACACGTCACTCAAAACAAGATTCACGCATGCGGAGGCGACGGCATCATCATCTCCTACAGCGACACGCCTCTGATTGACCATAATGTCGCTTCTGACCTGGGCACCGGGGCTTATCCTTGGACAGGAGGCAACTTTGCCGGCATGTGGGTACTCGGCGACCATAATCCCACCATCTCTCACAACGTCGTCTACGGGAGCATCATGTCAGACATTGACAGCGAGGCCTTTGACTGCGACTGGGGCAACACGGGCAACTGCACAGTCGAGTATAATTACAGCCGCGACAACGCAGGCGGCGCCTTCTTGAACTGCGATGGCTGTGGAACGTCTGGCGGCGCCGACCAGATTGTTCGGTACAACATCTTCGAAAACGACTGCCGAATGTACAGCAATGGCAACCGGCCCACGCTGTACTTCTACCAGAATGTCATGTACTGCGCCGACAAGAAGTTTGAAATCGCGGTACCCCCAAACGCCCAGTTCACCAACAACATCTTCGTAGGCAACGGCGAGTCGTCACTGCCAGCTCGAAGCGGCATTAGCTGGAACTGGAACGTCTTTTACCAGGTCCAGCGCCCAACGCCAAACGGTATCCAGGGGGACCCTGGATTTGTAGATCCGGGCAAGGGTGGAAATGATTTGGGCTCAGTCGGAGGCTATAAGCTTGTGAAATCATCTCCAGCCCTGAATAACGGTGCCATCATCCCAGGCAACGGCGGCATTGACTTTTTTGGCAACCCCGTGTCTTCAACACAGAAGCCCAACAGAGGAGCATATAACGGGCCAGGGCTTTGACAGAGAACTAAATATAACCAAGAAATACTACATTGGTAGTCCTGTCATCATAATGTGCTGCGTAACATATCATAGCCAACTAAGAACCATGTGCTTTCCTATGTTGTGACGCGTCCCCCTCGACTAGCCTCCGATCGTACTCTCTTGCCCTGTGCTCAAGTTTCCGCAGCTCCGCCATGAAGCCGGACTCGTTTGGACTCTATCCTCGCGTTGGGCAGCAGCGAATGTACGCGCCCGCATCTTGTCACCCAAAAATCCGGGCGAGCCATCACCGTCCAGCCCTGCCACCCCGGGCCCGCTCATACCACTAGGTGGAGAGATTGCACATTGCTGCAGCATAGTGGGCATTTCTCCAAACTGCGACATGAAGTGAAGATCCGGAAAGCTGCCGGCCTGTATCGGGGTTTTGGCTGACGGTGTCTCGGGGAACGGGGACTCGGGTTCCTGGGTGTCGGTCTCATCGGGGCCTTGTTCGTGCGTCTTGAAGAAGGACATCTCAACGCGCAGGTCCTGCTCCCATATGTAGCCGTCGCAAGGCAGCTGCCTCCGGATATTCTTGCTTGGTATGCGCGGAGTGGCTCTGCGTCAATGTCAGCCTTGGGGGACAACGCCATGCAAAGCATTCGGTATCTGTACCCTGAGGCGATGCTGCAGAAACGATCCATCAAAGAGGCGGCTCAAAACATCCTCCGGCGCTCCTCCGCCTCCAGCCAGGCATTGGCCGCCTCCAGGGTTGGCGGAAGTCTAGAGAAGTAGTCGGAGAATCCTTCCCTGCGCTTGGGCTCTTCTGAATAGAGTCGCAGCGCGTCAATCTTGCGGCTCATGATTGCGACAAGTGACCATGGTGATGCGCTGAGGCCTCCGTTCGATCTGCCATTGTGGTTAGAGCTCCGGCATCTTTGTGACACACGCCTAATGTATGTACAGGATCAAATGCCACTAGTGGCAGCGCCTGAATTGATTCTTTTGAGCATCTCCCGATTGCTGAGGTGATGACATTCTGCCGACAGAGTAAAGCATACCGTCTCATTTCTTGCTGCTGCTCCTTTGAGTCTGCGTCACCGGGACTAGACTATGCAGAAAGTGTGATGCGACCGCAATAATTGCCTGCCTGAACAACTGTAGACAGCCCAGCAGGTCGATTGGGATGCCGCACTCGTCTGAGAAACGTTGCGGCATGCAGCACGGGCACCCACGGATGGAAATACTTGACGTACATGTCTATAATAGTCTCCAGCTCCCTTGACGGAGGGATCAGCTGGCACAGGTCAACAGCACCGGCCATGGTACGTTCTTGGGGTCCTTGTTCAGGGCAAAAACATCGTGTGAAGTCCGTTTTCGCTTTGATCCTATTGAGCTTGGTGGTTGGCCTGCTCCTCTTTCCTCCTCGGAACCATCCCCCGACACGACAGCGCAAAAACTCCTTTTTAGCTTGTCCGTACATGTCAAAAATGAGTCAGTTGTCCGGTCTGTGGATCTGGGCAGTATCGAGGCAGCGGCATCTTTGGCTTGCAATGGTTGAAGGAGGATCCCCTGACCGAGAAACACGTTCTCAATTGTGTCTGTCGGGCCCAATTAGCACCGCCAAGTGTCCAGACGAGGAGTTGGCGAGTAGCTAGACTTGCAAACGCGTGCCTATTATCTGGTTGAAGCGTTTAATGGCTCCAGTTTTGATACCACCTTTGAGCCTCCTATCCTCATACACACAATCCACGCCTAAAATTTCAATGAGAACTTGGGTCCCCTTGAGCAACACTGGGTGGTCACTTGCCTGACTTGACACATTGTGAGCACGGCTGGTTTCTGGAACATTTGGCCTTTTTTTTCCGGCACGATTAACAATTAGCACCCGATATCAATAGCTTGGAAGGAAATATGTTCAGGCGCTCGTACGCTGGTGTCTCTTCTTGGTTGGTCGCATCACTGCGGGCGTCGAGTGCTCGGCTTCAACGTCGAGAGGCGCAGCTTCTGTCGTAGTTGCCACGTTTGTGATGGGTTCTACAGCCCGGGAATGGTCTGATGGCTATTCGATATTTGAGATAAGAGGCAGTCATGACGTCGATTGACCCGCGGTTCGAGTCACCTACAGTTATTATGCTATCAGATACTATCCAATTTGCCCTCAGAGTCGAGCAGACCATTTTATCCGCCAGCAACCCTTGTACAAGCGAGGAGTCTCCCCAGTTGCGACACGTACTGGTGCGAAGATGTAACATTGAAGTGCATGGGCCGAGTGGACCGGCTATTGGCGTGTTACCGCTGCCCTCATGCACTTACATGTAGCTGATTTGACAGATAACGTGACCACTAAGCGGTAGTAGATTTGTTTTCAACTCTTATTCATTTGTAATTAATCTCGGAATATTCTCCAAGTTCTGGATAATAATCTTCTATTTTGCCGCATAAATAGACGGGTCCAGCTGCCAGCAACCAAAAATAAGCGCTGGACAACTGGAGCATGGTGACCAAGATCCCCCTTCTTTTACGCCGAATCCACCTCGTATGGATGGGAAAGCGTTTCCCTTGGCGGACTTGAGCTTGGGTAATAGGAATCAAGAGCGGCGCAGGGGCCAACAGAAAGAGCCAGGTCCAGGGAAGAAGAAAGTGCTGCATCCATTCCATGCCTCTCTTATTTATCGTCCAGCTACTATGAGTTGTGGAGATGTACTAGCCGGGCGGTATAGTGCTGTCTTGTCAGTTTATGAGATGATCGTGTATCAAGGTCAAGTGTTGCGTTGCGTAATTATGGGCTGCAGGCTAAGCTGCTGGAATTGAGCGTCGTGTGTGAGATTTACAAGGCAAGAAAACAAGAATTATTATTCAAAGAGATGTTTGATTGTCAAGTCTGTCCTCTCTCTTCTTGTCAGATTTGGCTCTTTTAGAGTGAGTGTTTCATCACGTGGCCTCCTTGTTTAGCTAGGCCGCAACAATTATCGGAGAGATGTAGAGTACTGAGGGAAAAGCAGCATAGAACACCTGGAGGTAACAGATGTGTGATAAATTTAATAGTAACGAAAGCAAAGTGTAAAGTATAGGTTATGCGTGACCAAGTACATGTAGTTTTAGATATAGGTATAGGTCTAAACGCTTGATGTCCATTTACTCGATTTGGCATTAGGGCGAATATTGTGAGCTCGCGCGCCCAGATGCTATTCTCCTAATTTCGCACCTTAGTTGGAAGCTCGGGGGCTGATTTCGCACGAAAAACTATTCCGATAAGTGTTGCCACCAAAGCGTTCACGGCGAAGCTCCGAGCAGCGTCCACAGTCGTACTGCTGGCAGAGAGTCTCAAGGTTATTCCGGAGTGGGTCTGTAGGCTTGTCCGCGTCACAGTCGATAATATTGGATTTTTCGGCAATCTCGCACTCGATGTTGTATTGAGGAGTAGCGAAGATTCCCTGGTCGAATGCGAGCTTGGCCTTCTCTTGAAGTTGACCGAGAATTTCTTCTTTTGTGTTTGGATATGAAATTGCGGCAGCGCCCTCTTGGGCTGCGCTAGCCATAGTAAGGCTCGCAAGAATCGGGAAGAGAATGGATGGCTTCATTTTTAAAGAGGTAAAAGTGGCAAGATTTCAAAGGTAGTTGTAGGCTTGCAAGTTGGTCGAACTGAACGTTTGATGTTCTAATTTCTGGGTGGGAGATGGTTGTTTCTTTTATAATAAAATCTCAAGCTGTCTTGTAGCGAATCGCCAAGTCAAATTACACCAGACATCTTTTTCAACACCCTAGTACACTAGGCATGCAGCGAGAGCAGCCATACGAACAAAGTTGCATAAGGATAAATGTGGGTTAAATTTTACTAGACATTATTAGCCTTCTGAATCGCCTAGGGGCGCATAAAGTCTGATCCCACCCCCCCAAAAAGATATGTGTGCCGCCCATCTATCACATTTAGGTAGCTTTGTATTTTATACAGGGTTCTTGTATACACAGCGTAGGCCAGTCATGAGCATCGGCATCTGTGGTTTCCTCTTTATGGGAGCTTTTAGTCGACAACTCGCAAAAAAAAAAGCTACCGTCTCTTTGTAGTTGGGGTCAAATAACGTCAGCCAACATGTTCTTGTAACGTTAGAGGGGCCGAGAGTTTTCGTATGGGCTTGTCGCTTACCATATAAAAGGCGCCCTGCCGAGATTTCGGCATTTCCGACCCCTTTACCCCTACTGAGACATTTAGGGTAAAATAGGATGGCCACGTATAGTCTAGCAGGCTCCGTTTGGACCGAACTCCATCGGAATATCGGGAGCCAAGTTTCACTGCACTCTCAGATGGCGTCTTTGGTCGTGGCGCTATTCTTGGCAAAGAGGTATCGTACGATGCGTATGTGTATGGCGTATAAAGGAGCGAGGCTTGATGTGCGAAAGCTGCTTTGAGTCCTCTAGGCGGAGGTCCGCCAGGCAGATACAGGAGGTGAGGAGAAGCAATGTGAGGTATTAACTTACAGGTTTTCGTTGGCAGACTGTCAGCTTAAGACACTAACTTGGTAGCACATATACGAGTCACGACTCGAAATATGTATCCCGAGATACTATGCCATTTCCACCCCATTTACGGTTGGCCTTTGGACTAATGCCTAGCTAACTTGTATATCCCAGTCTTAGTTGACCCAGGCCCAGAACATATACATAGGCATGGAGTTGATGGGTCAGGCAAGTTGAGCGTTGCAAAAAGTGTGCAAGGTCAATTTCCGTCGCCGAGCTTGGATAACCACGGCACCGTACATCATGATTCGTGACTCAAAGTCCATTCTGGTCCATGAATGCTGCCAGTCATAGCAAGCATCCACATCACTCACCCCAAACCAGTCCTGTCGTAGCTCACTTCCCTGTTTAAACTGAGCCGGGACGCCCGCTTTAAACACATTAGTGCTAAACTCGACCATGGGGGAGCTGGACGAGGCTACGAAGCCATACATTTGCCCGGCATTGGGAGAGAGTCCGGAACAAGTAGAAAACGCCGAGATGCTTTCCTTTTCATTAGGCATTGGCTTCCTGATGCGCAACTTGCCAAAATATAGCACCAACAACTCAACATGCTCAGGGTGACGTTGCGTGTCGATAAATAGCCTCAGGACTCTCGCGCCCTGTTAAGCAACTCCGGATTTGAGCAGAGTCACAATCTGTCCAAGGCCAGCAATCAGGGACTGGATCAAAGTCCCATCATCGCTAAAGACATTAATCGTGCCGCCCTAGAATGTGGCAGTGCACGGTTGCACGGCATCCAGATTGTCATGGGGTACGCTTGCGAGGATGACCCGACAGTAGGCCAGATAGGACGCCAGCATATCTTGCTTCGAGGATAGTTGGGGAAACATGTGGCGAAACGAATCCGCGGGCAGTTGTTGGATGCAGAGTACAAACCACAGCGAGCATTTGCAGGATCCAGTGCCGAGGGGTGGACGGGCAGTAATCTAACAAGCTATTCCTCCCCTTTAGCGTCACGATTCACCTGAAAGGTCTGGTGAGGCTCAGATCCGTAGTAGCAGGCCGGCCATGTGCACCAATATTTTCGAGTCATGTGTAGTACAGACCGAATGGTTGCTCCATCCGCTTTGTTGGAGGCTTGTCGAGAAACTTCCGCCGCGAGTTCGAAGTGCGATATTGGAGCCGTCCCCATTCCCCTCATCATCTTGTACACGCCCATCAGCATCGCTGATCAACAGAGCATCCCGAAAGAGGTTGAGCAATGGGGATTCCGATGGGTTGCTCTTGGTTAGCAAATCTTGAGTTGGGGCACCTCCTTCCACCGCGACTGTTGATTTGGCTTGCGCAGAAGGCTCATTGGGTTCGTTCGCTGCTGGCGCGACGTGAACCGATTCTGCAAGGCTCTTGACGAGGCCCTCGATTTCATTGATTTTCTGACGCAGAGTAGCCCTGTCACACTCTGCTTCGTCCAGCTGTGCCCGCGGCTGTTGAGCAGTACATGCCGTGCTGTGTAAGGCACAGTTTTGACAAACGCTGTTTCTGGAGGAAAGCTTTGCGTCGGCGACATTTGGCGCATGACTTGGTGCCCAACCTCATGAGCAATGACGGGTCCATGGCGCCCACTCGATGCTCGAATGCTGGTGACTCGTGAGTGAGGGAGGTGAGACTGTGACTTCTTGCACGAACTCGACCGACTGGAGATGCTTACCCTTTTGGGGACTACCAAGGCAACTAGGGTGGCTGCCTGGCCTTGGAATCTGGATGAACAGTGTCGCTGAGGAGGCGAATGTCATGTGAAGATGGAATATATAGAGACCTCATGTGTATCTGTGTAGCCATGTCTTTCCGTTCAACTCAGAACAACGCCGACCATCTATTATCGGTTCCTTTTCCATTTGAAATGACTGCAATACTTGCATCCCAGCTATCTGAAGTAACCCAAAGCTCAAGGCTACCGGGCCAAAAGAGCTCAAAGACGCCATCCTTAACGCCAAAGCCGAATTCAGCAGTCATTTGACCCGAAGCAAGCTATACAGCCGGGCGAGTAGCTACCACAATTCAATCTCCCCGACACTGCTGGGACAGTAAGTTCTTCCTCCAAAATGTTGGCCAAGGGCCCTCTCCTCATCACATTTATCGTGGCGAGTGGTGTCCGTTTTGTAGCCTCGCTCTGCGCGCCTTTCAGCTTCGCCTGCCTAAAATTGAGGCCAAGGGCGTAACTTTAGTTGCAATCTCGCCAGAGCTGCCCGACATCTCGCTAAGCACCGTTGAGACGAATGAGCGTAGATTCCCCTTCTTGTCCGACGTTAGCTTGAAGTTTGCTCGGGAGCTGGGCATAGTCTAGAAGCAGCTGGAGACGCTTCATGCCGTTTTTAACACTTTTAAAACCAACTTAAAGACACGGAATAGCGATTATTCTTTCGAGGTTCCGATTCTGATTACCATCCTCGTCGATCGGGAAGGCATGGTGCGAAACATGCATGTAGACCCTAACTATTTTAAAAGATTAGAGCCTCAGGATGCTTTGGATTGGATTGATGCACTCTAGTGGTTATTTCGGCCGAGACCATTTTTATAGCAAAGACTTGAATACACGAAATACCTTTTGAATTCAACTCCTCTAATCTACTCGACACTTCTCGCGTCATTTGAGCCTTATCCACTAGCATTAACAGCGTACTCAGAGACTATATCTGGGGGTTGCTCCACGCAACATTGAGACACCGCAAGATGCGCATGAAGTAACGCACTCCTTTTAGGATCAGAAAGTTACCGCCCCCCAATGCTAAGTAAGGGGACTCTTGGCATTCTTTCCGTTCCATAAAATGGGTTTAATAAGTTAATATATTATTTAAGATCAAAGTGCCTTATTATCATGTAACACCTAGCAAGTCCTACCATGTAATCGATATTTTACCTTTATCACGTTAATTTATTAAAACTGAAAGAATCTTTGGGCTTCTTGTCTTCGTCTTAGGCCTCAACCAGAGCCCGTGTCCTCATGGCACTAACAACTAGTGTCTGAGAACCACAGGCCATTGTGTCGAGACGCTCCGGGAAGCGCTCATGTGTAACGGCGGCACTGGAATTGTCCTTTTTCGGGATAGAAGTCTTCGACCACCCATATCCAGATTACAACACCTGGTAACAGTGTCGTGACGCGTATGAGATGGTAGATTGGGCGCTTGTTCGGGCGATGCCCGTGACAGCGCCTTTGCGCCGCCCCATAGATCAGTGGATTTTCCAAGTTGATAAGATCATGAGAGGGCCGCTATGCCGCCCTTGAATTTTTTTGTCAATTAACCATTAACGGGGCTGTTCTTGGTAAGAAGTGTAATGGAACTATCTAATACAGCTTTGACCAACGCTTCCGAAGGACAGCACGCTCACCATTCTATTGGCACATTAGCTCCTAGCTGCAAGAGGAATTTACTACAAGCATTAAATGTAAAATAACAGCTAACGAAGTGACAGCACTCGCAAGTTGTCCGTAAAATTGACGCTCAGTATGCTAATAGCAGCCTGAGAGGCGATCGATGTGTGTCCTACTAGCGGATTAAGGGAAGCTAATGCTGCTTTGTGCGGCCTAGCCCAAGGAATCACTTGGCAAACTCACTAGAATTTACGAAGTCACGTCACTCGAAACGGCCATGTGACGAAATTTGATATCTGAGGTCGGAATGAAATTATTTCGCAACGTACCTTCTATCGCATCCAATTAACGTAGCGAGTCTAGTAGTATTAGCACCAAGAAAGGAAAAGGGCAACCAAAGTTTAGTCCTATCGGTATATGTATCACACAAACATGCACTTATGCGACATGGGTAGCATAGCCTTTAAGGTGGCTATGGAGACTCGGCTTATTGGCGTCCCAACACCAAATACTGGATACTATTTGGAAACAGCTGACAGGTAAAGTTGATAGCCCTTCATCCACTTTGAGTGCTTGGTAACTTACCGCCGGGCTTACCTTAATTGAACCTTGTATGTGACGGTCAAATAGTTCGTTGGTTATAGATGTCTTGGGTAAACTTGCCAAATCAGAATAACCCAACCTCGTTGGTTTGTGTCATTAATCAGGCAGTAGTGTCGAGCCTTTTCTAACAGAGCATAAATATTTTATTGATAGAAGATCCACTGGATCTTGAGCAAGACAAATACCCGATAAATCTCCATATTTTACCGTTCAAGTATAAACAACCACACATCTTCGCATGGCTTGATAAGTTTCGGGCAACCACTACCACATGCAAGACTCACTTAACTCACAAACCCCCCTCAGACTAACACCTGACACAACTATTATAACGGCAGTTGTGTTTCCGAAGCGCCTCTTTATAGAAAGTGCGGTTATGGGTCTTACCTCGAACATCACATACGTGCAACGCTACATCAACAAACGCCGTGCTGCGCTCGTAAATGCAAGAAAGCTTGTATGTCAACTACTTTAGCAACTGAACAATTTCAAACTCTCCGTTCAGCTTTCCCAAGCACGTTTTGGCTCTGAAAGAGTTGGATTGTGGCAGATGCCAAAGGGGACTGCCTGTCCAGGGCTCGTGTCATAACCTTATCTGATTTAGTCAATAAACTTGAAGATACCGCTATAACAGAGGAATAGAGCGAGTGTAACGCAGTAAGATTACAGAAGTAATAGTAGGCTAGCTAGACATACTTGAACATCAGAGCACCGGGTTTATAATACCCTGCGACGGTATGTGATACGCCTTTTGCATAACTTCTAAGCGAAGTCGTGACCCGAAAGAGTAAGGCGAGGCATGAGTAATTTCGGATTTTCGGGCGACCTCGGCCCGACTCATAGCGAGCCAAGAGTTGTTCCGGCAAGGATTATTAGGCTACTATTCCCTGCAAGATAACTTATATTAAAGATAAGTCTAATACAGAGTTAGGAACGAACCAATCAAGATGAAAAGAAGATTTTCTCAAGTCTTGTCCCCGCCCTGCTACTCTGCCAGGGATTAGGGTCGCGCGAGAAGTCAGCCGGTTACCCACAGCCATAACCAATTTCACATACACCCACCTCGTGGACGCCTATATATTATACCTCCCTACGCGACACCGTGCCTTGTCAACTTGAACCTTGCCACTCGTTTCACGACGTCGTATAACTTCTACAAACTAATAAGACTAGTAGAAGAAATGGTACGTTTGAATCGCTATCAGCTAAGAAGCCATCTATTGTCAACGAAAACGCGCGCCATTACCGAACAATTATACCCTTTTATTCTCCGTCAACATTTATTTTCGCTAACGGAAATAGCGTTTAAATCGAATCCTAGTTCTGGGTGGCGTGTCAGCCGTCCTAGGCGCAGTATGTAAAACGAGGCATCATAACGGGCTTATCTGGGGAAACGCCACCCGCATGAATCAGATTCAAGTCGTGGGCACGCATAACAGCTACCACCTTGAGCCGACCGACAAGGAGAAGGCTCATATCAAGAAAGCCTTGCGACTCTTGTCAATCGTGGGGTCCTCAGCCGGACTGGATGTGAATATTGAGGATATATACTATAGCCATGAACCACTTGAAACTCAGTTAAAGGAGCAACGTGTGCGGGCTTTTGAGTACGTTTTTTGCGGCTTAGCCTTCCCGTGGGCATGCTGGGCTAACAGCGCAGACTCGATATTTTTGCTGATCCCTCCGGCGGGAACTACGAAGTGCCTCTTATTACGGGTATGCCTATGGGCCCAGAGTACAAAACAAACGCCACGAAAGTCCTACACATTCCGGACGTAGATGTGCACACCGTCTGCACCACACTCACAGCCTGCCTTGGAGTTATCAAGTCCTTTTTGAAAGCCAACCCCCGCACTTTACCCATTCCCATCTTAATAGAGCTCAGCAAGTCCAATGAGTTAATAGCCAACCTCGGGCGGTCAAAGCCTATTCCCTGGAACAATATCACGCTCCTGGACAGGCTAGATTACGAGATCCGTTCCGTGTTTACACGTGAGCAGCTCATCACGCCTGACGATATTCGCTATCCGAATATGACGTTGGATGAATCTATCCGCAAGTATGGCTGGCCGAACGTAGATTCCGCTAAAGGCAAGGTTATATTTCTCATGGATAATGAGCCGAATGACGACGTCACTCTCAAGTATATCGAGGGGAGGCCGAGTTTAGAGGGTAGAGTTCTATTTACAAACTCGAAGCCTGGTAGGCCGGACTGTGCTTTCCAAAAGGTAACGTGGCCTAGTGGTTTCTTTTAATCGGCATAGCTAACCAGTGTAGCTCAACGACCCCGGGACGGAAGAATCTGTCCAAATGATTCAGAAACAAGTAAAGGCAAATTACTTGGTGCGTACAATGGCAGATGTTCCTCTTAGCACGGTACGAGAATGCAACGCGACGCGGCGCGACGCGGCGTTCAGATCTGGAGCGCAGATTATTTCTACAGATTTTCCGATTGCAGGGTTGAGCCAGAGGTATGACGGTTGCGCGTATGTCGTTGAGATCGGAGACGGTAAAGTCGCGAGGTGCAATCCTGTTAATAGGCGGAACGGGTGCGTTGACAACAAGTTGGAGTGATGCTTGTGCCAAGATTATCGCGGGCTACACTCGGCGGCTATAGGGTTAATTTGTTGTCCAGGCTGCACTGTTGCCAAACTCCCATGTCAGGTGTCTATCAAAAATGTGACTCTAACAGAGTAAGAGCACCATCACAGTTGGCAGACCGTTCTCGAGCCTTGCTTGCATTGTGCTGCCCTGCTGCATTTGCCGACAGGTTAGTAGTGTCTGACAGTTCAAGTTGTGATAATGGTGAGTGTGGCTTGTCTTTGCCTCACAGGTAGGTCATTTCTGTCATCGGCCCGGATCACCAAAGCTCGTGAGCTCAGCTGCCTTCCGTGTGAGACTCGCTGGCTTCTTAACAATGCCGCGACTGATGTCTGGGCTGTGTTTCCTTGCCGTTCAATAATCAACGCCACGAAACGGCAACTAAAATGTGACAGTCTCTTAATTTAACAAATCGGGCCTACAATTGTGACAATGGCATTGTTACCATACAATGCTCACTCTGTTATAATTATCGAGGGATCTGACACGGAATCCATCACAGCTGCAATACGTGTCTCGTAAACGGCGCCACGGAACCATTCGGGCTGCTGCATGAACATTTCGTTGTTGCTACCGTTGCCGGGTCCTTTTTGCCACTAAATTCATCGCAAAACCACAATACAAAGCAGCTCAATCAATATCGCCAGCCCATGTCTCATGAGAGGCGGCTATGCTTTGCTCGATAACGTGGTCCTTTTACGTAAACTTGTCATTGGCTTTTCTTTGATTGGTTACGATCTTTGGTATGCAACATGCACCACAACGGCTTATGGACAAGGATATAAACCTTTCTTGGGGACTGGTATTCTTACCTTTTTTGTTTACTTATAGCTCTGCTGGGAGAGGGTGCGGCGGCATCGTATTTTTGGCGTCAGCAAGGCCCTCGTACACAGAGCCTGCGTCTGCCATGGAGATGAGGGGCGATGGATGGAAATCACCATGACTCAAGGCTGACAGGCCGGCTGAGGGAGTGCCAGCAATGTCGTGGCATTACGGAGTACAAGTGAAACACATCCGCCAGACCATCTACAAGGAATCCCAGCGGAGTAGCGCGCATCAAGCACCACCCGTGTTGGGGCACCTTATGATAAAAAGTCTGGTTCATCTCCACGCCAAGTGGATAGATAACACAGGGTGTGGCTAATCCAGCATGAATCAGGCGATAACAATTCTGCAGTCCCAACACGTGGCTGAGCCATGTTAAAAGCTTTGTTCTCAAAAGCTAGTTCCTACACCACGACGGATTGCTCTCGTACGCGTGTCTTGTCTGGCACAGTACGTATTCCTGTAACACCAACACACTTCTTTGCAGTCTGTCTCCCTCCCGGAGCCACGCGACACGAGTTACCGGAAGACAGTCCTCCAGAGCGATGCAAAAACTAAACGACAGCTCGCTTCTTCCAACTGACCAAGGTCAATGTCTCAACCTCCGCTGCAAACACTGCCCCACGGGGGACGGCCATATCAGGCTCGAATTCACCGTCGAAGAAAACAGAAAACTGCTTGTTAATGGGTTCGAGCTCTTTCCCTCTCACGACGACAACGGCGAGACGCTCATAACTGCCAATGTACACGACGTCGGTGCCAATGGAAAAGAAATCCACGAGCAAGCAATCAGCTATAAACTCAGCACGGCACTCAATGAAAAAGACGAAATCGAAGGAATCGAACTGATCGATGTAGAATACATGATCCGCCAGGTCGGCACCAGAGTGGTTCAAGACGTTCCTGCAGTACACGTGCGCCTTGTCAAGCTTCCAGGAGACAACATTCTGATTGGGGTACTTTCAACAAAAGAGGACGAGGACTACGACGCCGACTGTGGCGCTGTGCAGTGCTGGGCGTACAAACTGAGCTTCGGGGCCCTTGGGTCTGCCGATGACATGATTCCGAGCTGTTGCAGCAAGAGTTCAGCTCAGGCCAACCACACTCCTAGTGACGTCGATTGGCGCCATCCCCTCCATTGGGAGAAGGCTTCGCTGCATGGGCTGCAGCTCAGTGTGTTTGCTTGTCTCCTGCTTGGCTTGTACGTTTACTCTGTTTCCGGATGATGAGGGCTACTAACGTCGAATACATTAGGCTGGCCATGTTCTGTTTCGTGGGTACCGCTTTGCGTCACAAAACAGTAAAAGGTAGAGGGGTGCAATTCTTGACTTGGACTATGAAAGGTTCTAACAAGACCTGATGCCAACGAACGAGTTGTCCTAGGGGTAGGCAAAGCGGGCGAGAATGACTACATGTACATATGTTAATAGACCACTGAGCCTTTGTTACACCCTCCGGGGCCCGCATGCGGCGAGCTCTGGCCTGCGGCCGGCCTATACTGTGGCCGCTGTTGCTACTCGTGCCCGCCCCACTATTTTAGGCGTCTCGTTTCACTCACCACCTAAAGGTGGTGCTCGACAGCAAGGCGGGCTACCTACTAAGGCGAGCTAATTTTTAACCTAGTAGTTAAATTAATCTCTTTACATATAATATACACTCTTTTTGTCTTAAATTTCTAGTGATTTTAATATAAAATTTTAACGCTATTAATATATCTTTTTAATAGCTTTAAAAAACGCTTATTTAGCTTAATTATAACGCTTTTTCTTAGCTATTTTAATTACTTAATAAGTATAAGTAATACTATTAATAGCCTTTTATTTAATTATCTTACGTGTATTAGCTATAAAAAGAATACTATTAATTTATAATATATAATTTTTAATAGCTTTACATTATTATAATAATAATTAAGCTACTTTAATACACTTAAGGTTTCTCTTTATTTATATAAGCTTAATAGTTATAATAAGAGAGCTATAAATAAAGCGACTAATATTATATGTAAAATTAGGTTTAAGAGATATATTATATTCTAGAACCTTCTCTAGCTTATTAGTAATCTTATTTATTTATTATAGGGTTATAGCCTTATAGGGGTCTTAAAATTAAAAGAGCTATAATATAATACTAGTAGCGGTAATAGTGTGTAAATTACAGCTTACTATAAAAGGGCCTTAATTATAAGCTTTAGGTTATAAAGCGAAATTCTAGTTTTTTAAAAGGCTAATAAAATAATAAAGGTCTTAAAAGCTTATTTTTATATATCTTAAATATGATTAAGAATTTTAATCTTTATAATATTTAAAATGTTATCTTAAATAATAATTTAATATTATTAAATAAAGCGTAAAGTCTATTATAATTTAATTAGCTTAAGTAAGGCTATTAATAATACTCTCTCTTTTTATAACGCGTACACGAAGTTACCTGTAAA